TTCCTACGTCACGGACCTGTTTCCCTCCCTTCCCATAGCATTTTAGGATTGCCCATACCCTTATCTAATCGTCATAAACAGATCCCAGACTTCTCACTGCTACCCTTGACTACAATGTATCGAGTAATCTTCAGTATAATCTTTGCTAAATGATGTTTTTCCTTTTGTACTGTATTTGTAATTTGCTAGTATACTGTGGGTAGTTATTATGAACACATGCTACAACTTCAAGTCTTTTGTTTACTTTTCCTTGTTATTTAATTCAGCCAACAAGGTTACCTAGCAACCCATAAGACTAATGTTAAAAAAATGTGATTTTCAGTTTCATTTTTCTACGTAATTAGATTTTTGTTGGCAGTTCTAACTGCAGTAAACTCGTTTTTAGGCCAGAATTAAACTATTCACAACATTTGAAGAAAATCGTCGGAACCGTTTTCGAGATCTTTGTGCAAGCAAGCATACATACATACATACAAGCAAACATTGCTCGTATTAGAGTATAGGATTTAAAACTAAATTAAAAAAAAAAAAAACATTTAATAGGAAAGGCGCCTTATACAATGGAGGAACTCATTGAATAAATATTCATACTTAAAATGTATTTATATCTAAGCTAGTTTAGTACCATACTTGACACTATTTTTGTACCCATGTACATGTAAGGAAAATAAAGATGTTTTGATTTGATTTGATTTGATTTGATGTTTATACTCAATGTTTGAACCAAGCAGCAACAAAAACCTGTGATACATAATGAGAACTGCCAAAGTAAGATTGTTAAAAGTTATGTTTATGTTTTTAATTTAACAAATCATTTGTGATATTGTGCAACCTGTTTTGATTATGTGATGATTTACTTTTAGCGAATTTCCCATGTAGGGAATAATATATTTTCTATTGTTTAGGTGCAGTGGTAGAACATTATGGCTATGGTAGCTGTGTTATGCTATAGCACACTGTAAATTTAAAGAACCGTTACATCCTCCTCCATTGCAAACGCAAAGCACAAGAGTATAACTTCAATTAGTATTATCAGTGTTGGGAAGTAGCGCTACAAGTAGCGACGCTACAGTAGCGCGCTACTTTTTTTGTAGCGTTAGCTGTAGCTACGCTACTTTTAAGTTTTTGTAGCTTTAGCTGTAGCTAGCTACATTTTTAAAGTAGTTGTAGCGGAATTTTAGCTACTTTTCTCGCTACATTAACATTGTTTGAGATAGTGATTTTTATCATAACCTCAACCTTACGTGAAACAACCTCTTTCAAACTGAGATAAAAAAAAAAAATAGGCCTTACTTTCTTGGCTTCATACAGCTGGTTGCAGCCGTTTCATTCCCTATTACAACGTTGTGTGGACATGGAGGCCATTAAATGAGTGTTATCCACATTTTTGGCTCTCATTTCCTTAATTTACTACTCTATGATTACTGTCAGATAAAATAAAATCGCTAGATGCAGACGACGTTTAAACGTTACCGGTGACAAGAGAAGCTATTGAATGCTTGCAAGTGATTGACAGGGAAATTAGTAATCAATTAAGTTTGTTTATTATACCGATAGTGTTTCAACTTGGATTTTAATGGAAACCAACACTAAACCTTAAAATAATGAGAAAGCTGGTCTATCAACCTTTGCTTCAGCTGTTGATTGTGGTTCATCATCACAAGCCCTTCCTTGGTTAGATTACGAAGATTTTTCAAAGGTTTACTAAATTAACAAAGAGGAAATTACCTGATGTGATTTAAGATATGTATAGACTAAATGATAATTGTAACGAAAAAATATCCATATAACATGAAACTTACATTGAAAAAATAGCATAGTTTGCTCCTGGTAACAGCTCTTGTATAGGACTATTAATTCCTAGGCTATGCTATGGTTTAAGACGAATACCAAGTTCCAAGTTCAATTATTAGGAATCCTATCTGTAGTCCTAGCAAGAACAAGCCTACTATAGCCAACTTGTTACATAGCCAAGTAGGCCTACATGTTATTTTTACTTTACAAATTTCAACATGTTTGAATTAAAAGCCGATTTCAGGATAAGTTACTGGATACTGTTTTCTGTATCAACTAGGTTGAAACACAATTTGCCCTATGCATAATGACAATAAAGGACGATTTCTTGACATTGAAAAGTGTTATTCATAGTACAAGTAACTTATATCACTTTAAAGTTTATAGCAATGTCGTTTTTAACATAAAAGAAAGGCAATAAACTCCAATTTCAGTAGGCTAGGCTCTGTAACACAAAAAAGTATTTTTAAATAATTGTTTTACAGTTTTATTGGTCTTAATTGTTGATATAAGGCATCTATATTAAAGAAATCAAATGAGCTTTTAAAATATAGTTTGGTTGTATGTCCTTTGAAATGAAATTTACATTTAAGATGCTTAAAAATAATGCAATATTTAAAAATAAGTACTAAATATGATGGGACACCGAACTATTTGGTTCTGTTGTTGTAATGTTAGGTTTATAATGCCAAAAAATTAAATACAATCTAGGAATAATTTGTTTTCCAATTAATGTTAGATACAATTCTGACATTTTTTTAATGTTTGTTCAGTAAAAATGTAGTTGCAATTAATTTTACATTTACCTAATGTGCGTGGAATAAAAAGTAACGTCTTTGGAAAAGTAGCTAAAATTGTAGCTGTAGCTACATTTCAATGTAGCTGTAGTTGTAGCTAGCTACTTTTGCGGAACTGTAGCTGTAGCTGTAGCTAAGCTACTTTTTTGGAAATGTAGCAGTAGTTGTAGCTAGCTACATTTTAAAAGTAGCTTCCCCAACACTGAGTATTATATACTTATACACCAACTCCATACTAAGAATGGGTACTCTGCTAGTTATCATAATCTTACTAATATTATAAATGTGAAAGTTTGTGTGTTTGTTTGTTTGTTTGAAGTTCAATCACGCATTAACTACTGGACGGATTGGGCTGAAATTTGGCATGATGATAGCTCACATTCCCGATTAACATATAGGCATATTCTTATCTCAAAAATCCTTCCGGGCTCCGCCCCAGTGGCTCTGTAGTTCCCCATGTCAACCTTATGAGTATTCATATTTAAAGGAAATTGAAGAATTTAGTCAGCTGTTTCAACTAAAAAAGTTGGTTGTATGATATACAAAAGCATTAAAAAGTTATAAGATTTACCAGCAGGGTGCAGCACTATAACTTTTTTTGCATTTATGTAAACAGGTAATTTGAACTAAGCAGCAAAAAAAACTGATACGCAATGAGAACTGTCAAAATAGGATTGTTTACAGTTATGTTTATGTTTTTATTGTCATGAATAATTTGTGATTTTTGTGAATTTTTTATAATTTATTTTTCTTTATTGTTAAGATGAAGTCGTAGAACATTATGGCTATGGTATATGTGTTATACCATCAATTTAAAGAAGCAAGTTTTATCAAACTTTGTAAAACCTCCCCCATTGCAAAACGCAAAGCTTGAGTATAACTGCAATAAGCATTTTAAACTTATATGCCAACCCTGTACCAAGGACGGGTACTCTGCTAGTAATTAGTAATATTATAAATGTGAAAGTTAGTGTGTTTGTTTATTTGGAACTCAATCAGGCATTACTAATGGACAAATTGGGCTGTAATTTGGCATCATTATAACTCATGTTCCCGATTAACATATAGGCCTATTCTTATCTCAAAAATCCTCTCGGGCTATTTTTAAGTGCATAATTTATCAACTTATTTAATGTATTTGTTTATTTTTATAAAGAAAAATTGTGTTTGTATATTCGTTTTCCCCAAAAATAATGTCTGGTAAACGGAGTAGCCTGTTAATACTTTGGATCTCTGATCAAGTCCATAACCTAGATAGAAGGAAAGGAAATATATATTGTTGATGTAAAAGTTTGGAGTAAATACCATGCCCATAACGTGAAAACTACTTGACCAATTGAGAAGATATTTTCCATGAAAAGAGCCAATATACTACAGGAATAATGGACATAGTACTGTCCTAGGGTAGGGCTCTGCCTTGACGGCTCGCAATGCTATTCTTAATGAATACACTTAGGTTAGGGCCCTTTCACACAAGGCCACTGGTGGCGGACACCGGTGTCCGCCACCAGTTTCCGGCCGGGAAACTGCAGTGGATGGTACAGGCAACTTACAAGCCACTCTACTACAGCCACTGTACTGGTAGTTGTGAAAATGCTGTCGAACAATGAACATCTCCTTCTTCTCACGTTGATAATAAAGAAAATAAGGCAAAGACACAGGCGTACTATACCGAATAGCCGGTTATTTTTCAATTTTGCAAATTAGATCATCAGTATCCACTTTGTTTTCTATTATTTTGTTTTTTCTCTTCCTCTGTTGTTTTCTTTTTCAGCAACGTCCTCTTTATTTTTCTTCTGATCACTCATTTTCACAAACAAACAATTCAACACGAAAACACTCAACAACTACAACCATAGTGCGTTTGTCTTTGCAGTCTGCACGTGAACTGATTCAAAATAGTAGCTGCGTGCTCATCCACGGTGGCGGCCACTGGCTGCTACGTGTGAAAGCTCCCATTTAATTCAATGCCCCGCGACGAGTTGCCGCCACTGCAGTTGCCGGCGGTGGCCGACTAGCAGTTGCGCGAGAAGACACTGCTCGGCCACTGTGTAATGGCAATGGCGGGCAACTACAGTGGCTGTGTGTGAAAGGTCCCATTTAAAATCATGTTAAAGCTGTGGCGGGCAACCAGTGGCGGCCACCAGTGGCCTTGTGTGAAAGGGCCCTTAATATTAGAATTGTGTAATTGATACGGAGGATTTGTTTGAAAAGGATTTGGATGGTGCTTTGTGTAAATTGTGGACATTTATTCTTGAGTTAATAACTTTTCATACAGCAGATCTATAGAACACAATTATTCTCTTTAGCGTTCTTTTCCCGTTGCTAAGCAAGGGTATGGCGGCAGTTGAGTAATTTGAGATTAACACAAATATTTACATGGAAGCATGATTTCTAATCATTTTTTAGGGTGAAATCAATGAAGACACTGGTTGCTCCGCTATCCCGATAGTTGCCACACTGAAAAACCTGGCAAGACACAATTCTACAATACGGCAAAGTTTAAGTCAACACGAGCAGTTCATACTGCATTTAATAAAAGGTAATTTTTTAAAAATTGAAAAAAAAACAAAAATAGTTTCAGTTACAAGCACAGGTAGCTAGCTGTATAAGGGCTGCAAAATGCATGATTTTAACCTCATCCACTACCAATGTAAAAATACCCCTGCCGCAGCAAACCTGCAGACTAAGCGAATTTCCATTTGCCTAAATGGATTTAATTTAAGGATTTACACTAAATTGTCTCCTTAAAAATATCACATTTATTCCCTATAAAGAACATTAGTTTAACGAGTACTTAGGTTTGCTGCAACGGGGAGGGTAAAAGTTTTTTTTATGTAAATAGGTAGTAAGAAGTAAAAACATTTTCCAAATTTGGGCAAAATATGTTGTTAATAAACAAGCAAACTACAACAGTTTACTTATTCTCCATAAGAATTTTGAATTTACAATTTAGGGAATTTTCTCCGTAACCATTAGGCGCATTATAACGCTTCAATATACTAGATTATTTGTTTTTTTAAGCTCTACAAAATTATTTGGGAAGAAATTGCAAAATGTTATGTTTTTTGGGTCAAAAATGGGAAAACCCCATTTTTACCCCATAAAAGCCCCCATAAAGCCCCGTTACCATGGTCCGATCACGCTGGTTCGCGAACTCGTTCGAATAAACATAGGTTTACACGTTTTTACCAAATTTCATAAAAATCGGATCATTTTTGCTCGAGTTATCGCGCTAACAGACACATATATATATATAAAAATATATAAATATATATAATAATTATGGTTGTGATTAGGGCCACTATTATATTAATAATTGGAAACATTATAACAACATTAAGTACCCTTTTAAATTCATTTTAATTATGAAACGACATGTTTCGACACTTAGGTCATAGTCATGTTTTTTTACAAATACAATAACAGAATAATGAAAAGAATAAATATAGTCATATGTTAAGCCAACTTAAAATTTAGAGGATCTTGATCTATTCTTTGTTTAATTTTGCGTATATTATATAATATTTCTGTTTTATTGCAATTGTAGGATTTTTTTGAATATCGGATTTGTTTTGTTGATGTTCATGGTGTTCAGTAAATTTTGAGGAAATCTTTTGTAATTTGTGTATATATGAAAATCTTCCTTGAAAATGTCAATGTATCTAATACATACGAATTGATAGACAAAATTAAAGATATTAATATACCACAGAACTCATTGTTTCTTTCATTTGATGTAAATGATATGTATACAAACATACCTATAGATGAAACCATTGAGATACTCGAACAACAATTAATCGACCATGGAACACTAACAAGACCTCAAATTAATGACGTAATCAAACTAACAAAAGTTACACTAAACCAAAATTATTTTCAATACAACAATTCATTTAACATACAAGAAGACGGTTTACCCATGGGCTCTCCCCTCTCTGGACTTTTAGCAGATATTTACATGAACAATCTAGAAACAACCAAGATTTTAAACGAAACAAATCCTTACAAATCAAAAATATTGTACTGGTACCGATATGTTGATGACATTCTTTGCCTATTTGAAGGCACTCAAATTGAAGCAGAAGAACTACATAAACACATAAATTCTCTTTCATCGCAAATTAAATTCTCTAAAGAAATACAAAATTCACAAATCAACTTTCTAGACATAACAATTTTGAAAGAAAGACACATGCATAAGTTTAAAATATACCGAAAACCTTCTACAACAGACATAATCATACCATCAAATTCAAATCACCCATGGCAGCACAAATTGTCAACTTTTCATTCAATGACACATCGATTAGTAAATATACCAATGTCAAGCAAAGATTTTGAAAAAGAGAAAAACATCATCCTATATTTAGCCTTGAAAAATGGGTACAAATCTTCTATAATTGAAAAAATGATTCGAAAGAAAATTAAGAAGAAATTTGAAACACAAAGATCGATTGAAGAAAACAATAGAAAAGAATTTATTTGCATACCCCATAGTACAACCTTAAACAAAGCAACAAGAAAAACCTTCCAAAATTCTAATTTGAAAATAAGTTACAGAACTAAAAATAATGCCTTTGATGATAAAAAACAAAATTTCTAATGAAGCATATAACAACCAAGTTAAAGATATAAACAAATCAGGCATTTATCAAATTAAATGTTCAGACTGTAATAAATCCTACATTGGCCAAACAAGTCGTAGCTTTAAAAAAAGGTTCCAATAACATATACAAGCGTTAAAATCAGGTAACAAAACGACAATGAAATCAAATTTTGCAGAGCACCTTATCGAAACTCGACATGAATACAAAAATATAAATGAAAATTTAGAAATTCTAGAATATGAAAGAAATAAAACAAAATTAAATGTCAAGGAAGATTTTCATATATACACAAATTACAAAAGATTTCCTCAAAATTTACTGAACACCATGAACATCAACAAAACAAATCCGATATTCGAAAAAATCCTACAATTGCAATAAAACAGAAATATTATATAATATACGCAAAATTAAACAAAGAATAGATCAAGATCCTCTAAATTTTAAGTTAGCTTAACATATGACTATATTTATTCTTTTCATTATTCTGTTATTGTATTTGTAAAAAAAACATGACTATGACCTAAGTGTCGAAACATGTCGTTTCATAATTAAAATGAATTTAAAAGGGTACTTAATGTTGTTATAATGTTTCCAATTATTAATAAATATAAATATATATATATATATGAATTTGAACGGATGGTGTTTTTGGCCTCTTGGGACCTCAAAACAAAAAAAAATCGGTCCCGGGTCCAGGTCTTACCACGAGTACTACGGTAATAGCTTATTCCCTATATGGGAAATTCGCTAAAAGTCCCATTGTATGTAAATAAGTGTATTCTTTTTAAGGGTCGAGCTAACTAGTTTTTGGCTCTGCTTATTTAATCAGACTATGAACTGAGTTGTAACAAAATATTGTTAAATTGAGAGTATCACTTGTGTTTGTTTTTGTACAGGCATGTTCCAGTTGTCTGAGTGGAGGCTACAGAGAGATGGAGCTCAGTTGCTAGCTCTGCTGGTGTACGCAGACTATGTACTGAGCTGCCCAGCTTCTGTTTCATTGCCTCACCTAATCACGCAGACTTTGCACCTACCCTGGCTCTGCCAGTCTCATTGGGCTGTCAGCCCCCACAGCACACCCTCCCTCAGAGGTTGGTCAGAGTTTCATGTTTGCTTAGCCCACTTATCCATAATATCTGTTAATTGGACAGTTTTTAAAATGCTGTAAAATGTTGACTGAGTGTTACATTTTCCTTCACTAAGGATTGCTTTGCTTTACATCAAGATACCCTATGACAGATGTATACAATCTGTCTCTGTATAGAGTGAAGCTCATTGTGTTTAAGTTTAAAGGCATGCCTGTTCATCGTCCCCAACGTAATCACAATTCTTGACCTAGACTTGTTTAGTGACTATAGTCTGCTAGGTGTGGTGCTGGGGGAAATGGGAGCGGAGAGGTTGTTGTCCACATACTGGGCTGTCCTCACTGTGGGACTGGACCATCTACTGGAGCTGTCTCATGTCACTGAAAACAATACTCCAATGGCTCTGTCACAACGTACACTGCGACAGTTGCAGGTTATTAATGTTGAAATTTACTGCTTTTCTATTTTTAAATTTTCTATTGTTACCGGTACCTGATCAAAGAAGTAAAAACTGTTTTAATATTGGGGTTTTTTTTTTACTTTCTTCCCCTATACCTAATATATGGAGAAAGTATTGTTTCCGTAAAAATTTTAGAGCTTGAGTTTTGAGTGGATATAGCCGTTTGCCTTTGCCCCCTGAACCCAAACAAGGGGTTTTTGAAGTGATGCCTGTGTGTGTGTGTGTGTGTGTCTGTATGTGTGGATGTGTACATAGCTACAGACCACACCTGTAGTCTGATTTTGATGAAATTTGGTATGTAGGTACTAATCCCTGATATCTCCAGGCATTTTTTAATTTTTTTGAAATTTTGATCATTAATGGTGATTTTCCCATAAAATAACTGAAAAATCTAATTTTACCAAAAATGGCCTGAACGATTTTTATAAAAAATCTAGTATGTTATAGTCCTTAAAATTCTGAAAAAAATTGTAGAAACCCCATTTCCGTCAAAATTACGGTTCAAAAGTTATTGTAACTTATGCTATTTTCCCATAAAAAACCATAAAATAACAAAAATCTGATTTTAAGAAAAAAGCCTGTTATGATTAAAGTTAATGTGTTATGGTCCTTATAATTCTAAACAAAACAGTGCTACCCCCCATTGTTGAAACAATTACAGTTCAAAAGTTATCGCAACGTTTGTGGTTTTCTCTATGTAATATCATAGTTACTCCCACCGCTTACTCATGATAAAGGTTGTTGACAAGCTAATGGTAGAAAGTATATTTTACATTCTGTGTGGATTTTAATTTTTAATCCTTTTTTCATAATTTCTGTAAATAAATTGGTGATATTAGGTTGCTTGAAAGTATGGCCAATATTTTTTGCTTGTTCTGTGTCCAGCAAAAAAATACAGACATTTAAAAAAATAGAACAGAGAACATATATTTCGGCTGTTATCAACAATAATGCTTTATTACAGGCGTCCAACATCCCTCATGGCTGTAGATGTTCTCTCTATTCGTTTCAAAATGCAACAACACACACTGCAGCTCTACAGGCCTTGGCAGAGCTTACCTCGTAAGATATTATTATGGCTTCTCAGTATGATGTTTTGCACCATGTATATTTTGTAATGTTTGTTAGAGAATAAACTTTAAACAAACATATTATTATTAACTAAATTTCTGGTAATCTCAGTTTTAACAAAATTGTCTACTCAAAATTTAAAAAATTCTAAAAAATGTATTAACCTATTACAGTGATGTGATAACAATTCAACTAGATGTTCAATCCAAGAAGTCCAGGATTTAAGGATTTTAAATCCTGGTAGTGATAATTTTGAAAGAGAGAAAATAATATGTTTCTGATTTGACATAATAATAAATTAAAAAAATTTTCTTGACTACCTTGTTTTTGAAAGTTGACAAATAACCTTAATTTTTCTCAATAACTCCTAGGTTAGAATGTTTATTATTTGACAACTAACTGCTGTTTGATGACCAGATATCTAGAGATCAGTTGGCTCACAGAACCCTCCAATCTCGCATCCCTCCCATGGAAAAACACATTCAAGAGGTTTTTGCTGATCCCACCTTCAGGCCAAGATGACTTTAATCTTCTATTTTTGGTTCTGAAGTTTCTTCAATTTCTTTTAGGTATTTATTATTGTGTTAACTTATTATGCCCGGTACAGTAAAATCATTAACATGTTAATTGTAAGATATATGTTTTTAAATAACTAATGATCAATGGAGGATGTGTTGATTCTTGGACATTGGTATTGTTATCGAGAAACGATCATCAAAAGTCGATGCCGATATACCGATACCCGAAATATTGCTTGATCGAAAAATAACCGCGATTGTGCATGACAACAATGATGTTTCCGTAACCGCAAAAAGATGATGATGATATCTACACCACCGTGGAAGATTATTAGTATTTTTCTATGATTGTAGAAGTCGATAATGATGCCTACATGGTCAGGGAAGATGATCAGAAATTTGCTGTGATCACAGAAGATGATGATGTTTCCGTAACTGCAGGAGATATTCAGGATTTTTCTGGGGCGGCAGGAAATTATGGCAATGACTAGACAACCGTGGGGAATTATAAAAAGTTTTGCTGCGGTCGCGGGAGACAATAAAGGTTCTATATGACTGGCGAGACGATAGTGATAACTATACAGCCACGGGAGATGATCAGAATTTTGCCACTCCCGCTGAAGACGATGATGATGTTTCTTTTACCGTGGAGGATAATCAGGAGTTTGCCGTGCCCGGTGAAGACGATGACAAAAAGAATAAAAAAGGGGGGTCTACCCGAAGGAGAGGAGATGATGATAATGAATGACTACAAGGCCACGGGATATGTTCAGGACTTTGTCCCGGTCGGGTAATACGATGATGATGTCTACACGACCACCGGAGATGAGGTAGAATAACGCTAGTCATGGGTCGCCTCATTTTACAACTAAAAATCACCTTTGGCTGTTTGTTATTTGATATTTTTCAACTTAATTTCGTTTCATAGGAAATTTTAAATTCTAAATAAAAGTGTCCTTGACATTTTTCCTTAAAATTGCCCATTTTTGGTAGTTTAAGTTACAAAAACTTTAATGGCCACAATTTTGAAATTTCAAATTGGACTAACTTAATATATTTTCTATGATAGGTCTAGGTTTCTTCTACCTTAAATTCATAAGTATTATAAAGATAATTTGGAAAATTGTTGGATAAAAATTTTTATGCAAAAAAAACAATGGATGATATTTGGTTAACAACACATTTTTGGGAAAATCTCATTCTTGATTTTCTCTTTATTTTGACCCATAAAACCATTTCTTGTAGTCTGGTCGTTTACTTACGGGACACCCTGTATAAATATAAACATAACATATATATTTTTTTCATAGTACTGTATATACATTAATATTCAAATCTATCTTAAGGGTAGTTTAAAGCTACAGTACAAAATTAGAATCCAAAAATCAATAATCTAAGTTCATCCATTTTGGATTTATAAAACAAAATATAACTGTGTTTTTTAGGCCTCTCCTTAAAATTCACCTAAATGGAGATACCACCTTTTGCTTGAGAGGCAACAAATTGATATGTTTACAATTTTGATCTGAAGGAAAAAGTCTGACTTAAAGACCCCTAGTTAATACTGTTAAAAATCAAGACTCCTTGTATTAAGGTATATTAACTGTGGTCTGTGGTATTTTTTGAATGTAGAAGTGAGCCCAGAGCAGAGTTTATGGGTCTCCGAGGCCCTGTTGTGTCCTCCTCACACACTGTTGCAACTCATCATGGTAGCCAACTCACCCAGCCACGACCAGGAGATGGTAAGCCATAAGTGCATTAGTATGTGAGGTCAAAACTGAAGCTCAGATCCAGCCAAACTCAGGAAAGATTCACATTTGAAATTTGCTTAGCCTAACTGGGTTTGAAGATAAAATTTTGAATCTTATATGTTTCTACCCTAACCTGAGTGGTTGTTCAATTCAGTAAGATTATTAGAATTTGGTGATTATTGTGTTAAATTTGTTTATTGAATGATTGTAAAAAAAATAAACCGATTAGGAATCTACGGTGGTGTTGTGCTGTGATTCTGATGTAGGCCTAAACAGTTTTGGAAATGAATTATAAACTAGGGTGGTCTGCCGTTACACTTTAGACGCATAAATGAGCGAAGCATTATTTAAAGATTGTCAATGGCTAAAGCAGCTAACAACCTACAATATGTTCCCTATCAACAGATTCTCCGTTTGTTTGTCCAATATTATCTAAGTTCTAAAGAATGACAAATTTATCTGATAGTATGTGAACAAAATCATTGACTGGTAGTTGATGTAGCGCTTCATCACTAATGGTTATGTCAAAATAGAATGGGTTATTTGCCTTCAGCCAAATAAGTGCTTGCTGTAGTTTTTCACTTCGAACTTTGAAATCGATATGGCCAAAGACGCCTTGACGTTGGACAATGATGACTTTTAAGTTTTTGGGCAGTGTAGGTAAGACAGATGCTATTTCATTAATATCTTGCTCAACATTAATGATGTTACCTTTGTAGTGACACTGGCCATCCTGACCATTTGCTTGTACTTTGTAAATGCGCATAGCGGGATGTACTCGTGCAATCAACATTTGTTCTACAATCGTCAGGTCAGTTAATTCTTTCGGGACACTTGACACATCCATATTATTTAACGCCGTGAATTTAGTTGCATTTGAACGACAACGCGAACAAATCGGTGATTGGTTTGAAGCTGTTAGCTGTTGGTGATGACAGTTAGTGCAAGTGTAAAATTTTAGTGCATCTAATTCATGTTGGAATTGATTAGCTAACTGCCTATCATCATCAGCTTCTTCCGCCACTGCTTCATCTGGTTCTTCTTGTTCAGGTTCATTCTTCTTGTTGTAAGACGCCACTCTCTTACAATATTTGCATTATTGGTGCAACGACCAATATTACGAAGTGGCCTTTGAGGCATGCTCAAAACAAATATAGCAAAACTGTTACTTCCATTGATAAACTGTTACATTCCAACTTTAACCTAGGATGAAAGTAAACATTGAAATGTAAACAAAACAGTTACAAACAATTAACATATGTTTATCTTATTTAAATGAAACGAAATAAACCCATATGTCATAAACCCAATATAATTTTTCTTTCAACTTACATTAAAATAACAAGCGAAATTGCGTGACCCGTAAAATAAAATCCAGAAGGAAATTTGCAAATATTTTTTACCAAAACATTGTGCTCAGTATTCTTTAGCTGTTGGCCAAATTTCATATCAATTGGTCAAGCCATTACATTATGATGCTCTTACAAAGAAGTTACAAAGTGAGGGAAAGTGAGCTTCGCTCAATTATTTTAAAAAATGATGAGAATTTAATTGAATTTAAGTAATTAGTAATCAATTAATGAATTAATTTGTTGTATTAGATTATTTTATGGTATTTTGATTTTATTTGTTACTATCTCTCCTCTCCAAATATATTGAGAAAGTATTTTTTTGTAAAAATTTTGGGGTTTGAGTTTTTGGTGGAAATGTCCGTTTTGGGTCCCCCTGAACCCCAAAAAGTGGTTTTCAAAGTGTTTGTGTGTATATGTGTGTGTGTGTGTGTGTCTGTTTAGCGTGCATCCTGGGATCCGTTGTATGGTGACACACCAACAAACATGAGATCTGTAGTGAGCTGACAGATGTATCAGCTAAAAGATGTTTTGAATAATTTTATTAAATTTGTTAAAATCATATTTAATGGAAATCTTTAGACCTTTATTTCAGGTATTTCTCCTGATAAATTAAGTCTCCTTTTCCTAACTATACGAGGTTCTTTCCACTAAAGATCCATTGATGACGCTTGGATGAAACTGGGCTCTACCCAAAATACATTGGAGCTCTATTTACTGTTCATCTCCATAGAGTATGTGTGTATGAGCTTTCAAAAACAAGTGGCATCCGCTTTAATTTGGCAGCAACTCATTGACATCAGTTCATTGATCTCAGCAGTCTGCGTCCATGCTGGCTTCTCGTTGTGAAAAGAAATCATTTCAGTGCTGTTGCGGTTACTGTTGCGAATCGGGGAATCGTGTGACGTCGCACGGATTCTGCCACACGGTTTGGCCCACCTGTTCTATTCAACACGCCTTGATCTTAACCAACATAAAAAATATAGCCTATACAGTATGGCTGAAAAGTAACTACCTTCCCCTTTTTAACTTTTGTTGTTTAATAGTCTATATTTTATTTCTGTTTGAATCAACCATCTTAAATATGAGGGGCTACATTGTTGAGTGAACGATTATACATTTTTCGGACCTTTAACGTTAGTTCACAACCATTAAAATTATTATTGAAATTCCTTTTATTCGCAAAAACTTAACATCATACAGCACGCCACGAACATTAGTTTAATTATGCCTAATATATTTTATATATGCAGGGTGTATACCAACCGGGAAAACCGGGAGAACCAGGAAATAACCTTGAATTTGAAGGGACCTGGAAAAAACCGGAAAAAAGCCGGGATTTTTGGACCGATTCCGGGATTTTTATTTTAGCCCCGGTAGAAGATTGTTGTCGTAAAATGCGTCTTGCCGCGATTTCGGGCGAAGACGATGACGTTTTCGTGACCGCGGGAGACGACGATGACGTTTCAGTGATCGCAGGCTACGACAATGACATCTACACGTCCGCCGGAAATGTACATGATCTGCCGCGATTGCGGACAACAACGATGACGTTTCTGTGACCGCGGGAGACGACGATGATGTTTACATGGCTGCGGTAAATATTCATGATTTTACCACTATCGCGTACTTCGACGATTACGTTTCCCTAACCGCTGGAGTCAATGATGATGTCTACACGGCCGCGGGAAATGCTCATGATTTTGCCGTGATTGCGACCTACGACGATGACGTTTCCGTGACCGCGGGAGACGACAATGACGTTTCCGTGACCGCGGGAGACGACGATGACGTTTCCGTGACCGTAGGAGACGACGATGACGTTTCCGTGACCGTGGGAGACAACGATGACGTTTACGTGACCGCGGGATCAACGATGATGTATACATTGCCTTCGGAAATATTCATGATTTTGCCGAGATCGCGGACGAAGACGATGACGTTTCCTTGACCGCGGAAGACGACGATGATTATGTCTACACGGCCGCAGATGTTTATGATTTTGCCGAGATCGCGGACGACGGCGATGACGTTTCCATATCTGCGAGAGGCAATGATGATGTCTACACGGCCGCGGAAGATTTTCGTGATTTGCCGTGACCGCGAAAGACAACGATGATGATTTCTACACGGCCGCGTGATATGCTCATGATTTTGCCGTGATTGCGGCCGACGACGATGACGTTTCCGTGACCGCGGGAAACGACGATGACGTTTCCGTGACCGCGAGATCAACGATGATGTTTACACTGCCACAGGAAATATTAATTATTTTGCCGAGATCGTGGACGACGATGATGACGTTTCCTTGACAGCGGGAGATGACGATGATGTAGAGACGGCCGCGGGAAATATTCATGATTTTACCGAGACCGCGGACGATAACGATGATGTTTCCGTGACTGCGGGAAGCAATGATGATGTCTACACGGCCGCGGAAGATATTCGTGATTTGCCGTGACCGCGAAAGACGACAATGATTATTTCTACACGGCCGCAGATGTTCATGATTTAGCCGCGATCGCGGACGACGACGATGACGTTTACGTGACCGCGGGATCAACGATGGTGTTTACACTGCCACGGGAAATATTCATGATTTTGCCGAGATCGCGCACGACAACGATGACGTTCCTGTAACCGCGGGAGTCAATGATGGTGTCTCCACGGCCTCGGAACATTTTCGTTATTTTGCCGTGATCGCGGTCGATGACGATGACGTTTACGTGACCGTGGGAGTCAATGATGATGTCCACATGGCCGCGGAAGATTTTCGTGATTTTGCCGCGATCGTGGATGACGATGATTATGTTTCCGTGATCGCGAGAGACGGCGATAATGTATACATACCGCGGGAGATGTCCAGGACTTTTCTATGATAACGTAAGACTGATGACGTTTACGTCACCGTGGGAAGCGACCACACGACTGCAGGAAATTTTCAGGATTTTGCCGCCGTTGATAATGTGTTTATAAAAAATGAAGATAATATTCATGATTTTGCTGCTATCGAGAGAGACGATGTTTCCGTGGACTTAAGTAATGATGATAATGAAAATTATTACTATAATAAGGATTATTACTTTTTCAACACTAGCTCACTGGACTTTGAAACAAATTTGATGCAAGTTTATATTGTATACTTAAGCTGCAAGTCTTAAATTGATTATAGTTTAAGTGGAACCAAACAAATACGCGGGAACCTGGAAAAACTTCAAAAAACCAGGAAAAACCTGGAAAAAACCTGGAATTTCACTTTAATAAAATAGTATACACCCTGATGGAACAGTTTTCAAGGGATATTGAATTAATAGAAACAGAAAAGTGTAGTGGTGGCAAATTAACGGAAAATATCCAATATTTCTGTTTGAGGGGCTGCGGGAGAAGGTTCAACTTAACATTTTGAAATTAAAATCCCTCATTTGAAAGGTCTTAATAAAAGAAAACAAATGGCAAAAACTAGAGTTATCTATCTCAACCCAGTAATAATTGGCAAACAATTGAAAAAAAAAACCCTAAACGTTATTTTCTATTACAATGAGATAGAGACCTCTAGTTTTCACTGTTTGTTTTCTTTTATTAAGACAAGACCCTTAAAATGATGTGTTACTCAATGTGGCTGTACATTTAAAGATTATGGGGTATCCCAAAATGGGAAAGGGTAAAAATGTGTAAACAAGTTTTAATTTTCTGCCACTAGAAAAAATATGTTTTTCGATAGGATTATGGCATAGGAATTTCCTGGTCATACGAAATTTACCATAAAACAAAACTGTTTGAGTTATTCTTTTGTTTGGTACATAATTTATAGATTTTTTTTAAATTTATTTAAACACTATAAAGGGTTAAACCAACGATTTTCTTCTATGAACACCCTGTAATTGAAAAAAAAACCGAGTGAAATTAGTTAAAAATAAGCAAATAATTTAATAGATTTTTTGAAAATGGTAGTTTGACTCACACTAATTTTTCATCCATTTGTCTTTCTTTCATTTGAAGATGATTAAAATTACACGAAAAATTTATAAATTAGTTTCTCTAGCATGCTTATTGGCTGTAACGTTAATTCGATGACTGGAAAATTAGGCGTTGACTCAAGCAGGTAGTAAAGCGTCCTCACTACAGTAATTCTGCAGAATTTTGGGTCTTTGACCAGCAACTCACACCCCCAACAATAAGGGGCTAGGATCCAGGATCTCTCAAAACTATTCCTTGGATAGTTGTGATTTTATTATAGGTAGTTAACACGATGTTGAGGCCCACACATTTTGGTTACACACCAGAAGTTTCTACTTCAGAGTTGTTCTCAGTGAGAGATTTGCAGTGTCTAGTAGTAGATTATTTTAAATGTCTTGCTTTTAATCATCTTAAAATATATAAAAAATTGACTGACAATTATTAATGTGTGTCAAACTGTCACTTTCAAAAGACTATTAAATTACTCGTATTTGCTTGTTTTAACTAATTTAACAATACATATTTCCAGATACAGTGATTATTATTCAAATATCCCTATTAAAAAGGAAGAAAATACTTTGTTTCAAGATTTTAAAAATATTCATACGGTACTTATATTTCTTTATAAAGTCAACTTTGATCTCACTAATGATTGTAATGTAATGTAGCCGAGGTAAGTATTTTGATTATGCGGAGCGTATAAAAAAGAAATAAGAATGTTCTGATTTGGAACGTCTCTTTTTCAAACACTAATAAACATATAGTCTACAATTACTATTTCTTCCTACTCCTTCCTAAATGGGAAGGTCGCCATTTTATTTTAGGGGTGTGCAAAGCAGCAAAAAATTTTCGATTCAAAAGATTTTAGATTTGAATCGATGCTACTCAATTCAAAGCAATACGGAATTTTTTTCATAATTGTCAATGAAGTGAAATAACAATAATTAAAATTTACCACATTTGTGTAATGAACATTTTTGTTGATGTGTGGTATTAGGCCTATTCATACATATTGCACAGGCTTTCCAACAAGCTTACCCCCACCACCTTCAGATGATCTGTTGCTGAACTGTGCGAGGCAGAAAATAGATCGGTTTTACCACTCGTTTTACCGCACCCTGTAATTTTTTTTTAATTTTCAGTGGAAAAAGATTTGTCTTAACACTTTAGCAGTGTGCAAGAAATGTCTGCACTTCAATTTTGGCGGCAGTGATTGGCAAACGTTAGTAATGCTGGTTTTGCGCTGTCTCGGACAAAGTCATACTCAGGAATACTATAGTCTAGGTATGTTCTTGAGGTTTATTATTTGTTTTTTGGAGAAAAGTGTTTTTTTATATTGGGATTAAATTACATTCCAACCAAGCTTTGTTATGTAAAGTTCATCCTGGTAACTGCAAAAAAAGCAATATTTATCTGTGGATTTAAAATGTAATTGGAAAACAAGTCAGATGTTTATTAATTTGTCAACTGCATACACTTTATACAGGGTGGCTGAAAAGTAACTTACACCCCCCTTAACTTTTCAACAGCTTTGAAACATGCAAGCTGATGAGCAATATTAATCGTTGGACTATTTGACGGAGGTATGTAAAACCTATTATTGTCTTCTGATTTTTCTTCAATCAATTAGAGTTTTTTATTGAAACCTGAACTTAAAAGGCATGTCCTTTTCTTTATTAATATCTAAATATGTATGTATTCATTCATCACATCCAATGACATCATGACTATAAACTAGGATCATAAATAAAGGGATAAACTAGGGCGCCATTGTTGTTATCTTCCATGGTTGCAGAGATATCATGGTTGAAAGAGCAGCCTACAATCAGTTAGTACATTTTTTTAGAAACCAATTGTTTGCATGATAAGGAACAACATGGATTTAGACCAAATAGATCAGTTATTACTGCTGGCATAGATTTCATTAATTCGGTAATTGACTCTGTGGATAAAGGAGAGAAAACAATAGGTATTTTTTTGGACCTGAGCAGAGCTTTTGATAGCGTCTCACACAAAATTCTTTTAAACAAAATCAAAGGCCTTGGAATCAATGGTAATACTTTAAATTGGATTAGCTCATACTTGGTTAATAGAAAACAATTTGTCGAAATAAAAAGTACCATTAATAATCAAACAGTCACCAGTCATTCTTCGCTAGCACAGATGCAGCATGGGGTCCCGCAAGGTTCTATCCTTGGACCTCTGTTGTTTCTGTGCTATCTAAAAGATATTCCACATTCTTTTCAAAATGGTTCAACAAAAACACTTTGTCTATATGCAGATGATGCAAGTTTCAAAATTAGTAGTAATACAATAAATAATTTGGAACATAGTTCTTCTTCAGCTTTATTGGGTATCCATAACTTTTTGAATAATCACAAACTATTATTAAATACAAGTAAAACCAATTTTATCATGTTCAATGCAGGAAGAAGTAAAAATTCAGTAAATCCAGTAATAAAAATAAACAACCACTCTTTGGAAAAAGTTGTTTCTACCAAATTTTTAGGCTTAACATTGGATGAAAATTTATCATGGAATCTCCACATAGATCATGTAGTTAACAAAGTCACCTCTGCATTGTATGCTTCATATAGGATGTCTAATTTTTGCTCAGTAAATACATTAAAAACCATTTATTTTTCTCTTATTGAATCAGCAATCAGTTATGGCATTGAAATCTATGGAGGTACATCAAAACAAAATTTGGATAGAATTCTTATTCTTCAAAAAAGGGCGATAAGAATCATAATGAATTTGAATTTTGGTGATTCGGTTCGTAAGCAATTTAACAGATTTGGGCATAATGACTGTTTACAGTTTATATGTTTTTCACACAGCACTTCATGCTAAAAAACTAAGTATAAACAATCTGGTTCCCAGGTTAGGTGACAGCCATTCCTATTTTACAAGAAATAGAAATCAAATTGCCATTGATTTCCACAGGCTAGAGTTTTATAATAAAAAAACATTAAGTGCTAAGTTTTTACTACGGCTACCTGTGGAATTAAAAAACGTTAAAGATGTAAAAATGTTTAAGAAAAAATTAAAACTGCATTCGACAAATAAAACATTATATAAATTTTATGAACTCTGACAACCATACTTGTTGATGTTTATGACTTTTGTTTTAAATATGTACCTTATGGCTTATGGAGGAAATGTAAAGAAATTAATTTGTTAGCTGTAATTTAGCATAATGACGCCATTCGATGTATACCACTGTATATTATATGAATAAAGACATTTTCAATTCAATTCAATCATGGTCACAACCACCATAGCAGCGACATCATGAGCATCTCCTGCGATCCATCATGGTCACTTGTGATCTGGGCGAAATCACAGAGTTTTGGGATAAATCCTGTTCTAAAATCACCAAATTAATGTTATTTTTAAATCACATGCTTTATGTTATTAGTAGGAAACTTTAAGACTTGGAATTAGTTTTAATTTTTAAAATGGGAGACTAAAAACCAACAACTATTTGCAACATTAAAACCTTTAATTCCAAGTCTTTGGCGAGGTAATATTCATTTGTGAAATTTTGTGGAGTTCACTAACCTTTATCTGGTGATATCAAGGACTCGTCATATACAGTTAGACTTACACATCTCACACGCAATTGTCCTGGAGATCAAGTCTGATGCTTTTACGGAACCCGGACCTACGATTGTAATTTATGAGATGCCAACAGTGGTACAGTTAAAATTGAGACTTTCTGAAGTAATAATGATTTTTCATTGTTATTAGCCCTACTGGACAGCAAGCTGCAGGTGTTATTGGCAGCCCTGAGGTCCCGTCAATCTGCTGACAGTGCTGCCAACCTGTGGCAACTGCTGACCGCGTTTCATTGTGAATCACCTCATAGCTTCATGGGAATCAGTATCACACGTAATACAGTACTCTGCCTCAACAAGATGTTAAGCCTTACTCAGGTATTTCAAAGGAAAAGAATTGCCTATGTACAACATTAAAGATATTTGTTGGAACTTTTTTTTAACATGAACATGATTCCTGAGTAATTATTTCCCACTTCACAAACAGAATGCATATTTGAATTTGTTTGTTGTAGGACTGGGAGGGGGAGTGTGAGCCCAACATAAGGTGGCTGTTGCATGAGGGAGGACTGTGCTCCAGTGGTGATGTTGTCGTACGAGCTGCTGCCCTCAATCTCTTGTCAGGTCTGGCTTTGACACCTCGTGGAGCTGTTACACTGCTTGATACTTGCCCTGACATCATTCACTTTACCATGCGGTGAGCCAATGTACAGGCATGAATCTTGAGATTAATTAGCGATGGGTCGGTTTTTAAAGTCAATTTTTAGTTTTAATGGTTTTTAGCAAAATAACCGGAACTAAAAAATTATTGAAAATGTCGGCTGTTGTTTATTGTTGGTTGTCCTATGGTTTCACCATATTGTCTTCACAAACTCAGGGAAAGTACAAGATTTTTCTGCGATCATCAGCAACAATGATTATTTCTTTGGGAAAAACCATGCTTTTGCCGTGATTGGGGGGGACATAATATGATGTTTCCCTGATTGCAGAAGACTTTGTTGATGACAACAAGACTGCAGTAGATATACAGGATTTTGCCATGTTCACAGAAAACAATATAAAAATTTGTGATGGACGAGACTAGATTTTTCATTTCGAGACGAGACGAGATTGTTTTAATTCCGGCGGGACGGGATTTTTTTTGGGACGAGATTTAATGAAAAATTATTTTAAAAATGAATATCTACTTTTTAAGCTCAGAAATATTTACAAGTTTTAAAAACTTGGCAAAAAATAGACAAAAATATTTAAAATCTTTTATTAAAAAACATTAATAAAAACATCAGTACCTATATAAAAAAAAAATATTAATAAGGCCTAACTTATTAAAAATAACTCTTCGGCATAGGAAACATGGAGATATCAGTTAGTATATAGTTCAACTTTGAAAAATATTAAAAACAACAGTATTACTACTTAACAAGTTATAAGTCTTGTGTTATTTTTAGAATGATTTTGGAGTGTCTTATTTTGGCTATTTTTACAGTAGTAAAACATGTCTCACACTGCATAAAACAATTGAAGCAATATTTCTATGTAAAGAAAAAATAATTAAATATGAACGCCTTCGCAAAGTTTTTATTTTTTATTTTTAAATTTTTAATTTTGTTAAATTAATTTTTATTTATTTAAAATTTTTAAAACTTAAAATTTCTAAAAAATTTTAATTTGTTTAAATTTTAAACTAGTTGTGTGCCCGTTCTACGCACGGGGATCTTATCGTAGTCAGTTAAAACCTTCTTATATTAAGCACAGCAGTTGGTTTGCATACTTTCAGATATGCTGACAAAACTATTTTATATAAACCTTCGCAAATACAGTATCTGACAGTTTCAAGCCAAAACTAACGCTTCACAATTAAATGTCACCCGGATCTTGTTGGCCCATATGTTAAATCCAATGATTAAACTGAAAAATGCTTTATAGATCTATGAGGCATAGCCCTGAGGTAGGCCTATAATTGAAAGTTATTACTTTTCACAATGGTTAAAAGTATTTAAGGTACTACCTCAACCTCACAATTTAACACTTTATTCGGGTTGACATTTTCATTATCAAGGTGCTCTTGTCCTTTCCGTGAAACACTGAGAAATAAGGACATTAATGCATTACCAACAGACATACACACAAAAATACAGAACTTAATTAGGGAATTTTCTACGCTTTAAGCATAACAAAGTACATATAAAATTAGTATTTGAAATCTTTGTTAATGTTATAAAATTGTATGATAACAATTTATATTTGCTTGGACCGAAGATGACCCGAAACGCTGTCGAAATGCTATACGAATCGGCTGGCTATATGAAATGAAGTACTATAGACGATTTAGATTGGTAATTTAATTTATAATAAAAATTACCTAAATAGGCCACGGACTATTAATACATAAACGTTTAAAGCGTTTGAACAATTCATGATGGTTTGCTGAATAAATGTCTTACTAAAATGAAAATGCGTCATCGTTTTCTTAGCATAAACTAACATTTTGGAATCCAGACAGAAAAAGCAAAACTTGTACAGTTAAGACATCAATTAAATTGACTACGCCTGTAATAAATAAGGTGCAACACCAACGATAACTAATATTGGTCGGAAGGGCCGTCGGCCAGGTTGGCAACACAGCAAAGTTACATTTACACTTAAAACAACCTCACACATATATATACCTAACAGATACTCAAAATAATACGATAGGTACTGAGAAAAATTATAAAAAGCTACTTGGACAACAACAATACAGTTAAATTTACGTAATAAAATAAATAAATTATTTTATTATTTTCTTTTTTTTATTAAGGAAAGAAATATACAACCAATTTTAGGCACTTTTAGACAAAAAGAAATGTGTAATTTAAAAATTGAATTCTTCTACCAGTGCCCATCTGTACTGCCAGGCTTCTCTTAAGAAACCAGCCAATATCCGCCAATCCCTATTCCCTACCATTCAAATATTCTTCAAAATCAAATTTGCTTAAAAGAAGTGCATTAAAATATTTTTTTCCTTATATTACCTAATATTGGACAAACGGACACAAAGTGAAAAACGGATTCTATTTCATTCAGATTCCACAATGAACATGTGAAGATTTTATTAATCATCCAAGGTTTAAAATTAAAGTTAACAAGTTCTGCTCTCGCTTTAATACTCCAGGATATTACGCTAATATCAGATGTTTGGCACAATACATGTCTGTCACCGAGGTCAAGGTCGAGGGTCAGATATTGTTGGTGATAGAGTGATGTACGGGCTCTGCCTAGACAGTCTGCCCACCACCTCCCCCTCACCCCCTCAACCACACTCATCAGCTGTGACTGCAATCTGTCCAACCTGTCTGTTCTAAAATCAATTAAAATCCCACAATTGAGGCCTAACTCTCTCCATTCTCTGCTCCAGCCTATATTTTTGTCTACAATTTGTTCGGCTAAGATTTTTGTCAGGCGGTTTGGTTCTGTTCTAATGATAGATTCTTTAAAATGTAGTTTAAATTTTGACTCAAGGTGTAAAAGTATATTTTTTCTGATAGGGTCTCTAAATAAATCACATAATTTGGTGTATTGTGAGGCAAACGGAACAATTTCCTGATATATTGTTTATGTATTGATTCGACATATTTTCTCTCCTTAAAGATACCTGTGCTCCGTAGCATACAATTGATTTTATAATGGAGTTGAAAATAATATATTTAGTGCTAATTGGTATCATTTTGTTGGTGATCAGGTTCCCCCACACAGCATTTAACGCTAAATTGGCTGTCCTGGCTTTCTCTTTAAAATGATGTTTCCATGATAATGTAGATGTAAACGTTATACCTAGATATTTGTATTGATTGACTACTTCTATTCGGTCTCCTTTATACCACCATATATTGTTTCCACTTAGCCTGCCTCCTTTTCTAAACACTATGACATTGGATTTGTTTAGGTTTACGACCAGATTCCACATGTCACAATAGTTTTTGAATCTTTTAATCATGTTGTAGTCCTTGGGCTGTAGTTGACATGAGTACAATATCGTCTGCATACATTAGGATATTAACTCCAGACCCGCCAAAACTATACCCCCCTTCCAAGATATCTGGCAGATCATTTATGAACATTGAGAACATAAGAGGGCTCAGATTACATCCTCGTCTTAAACCAGCTGTGGTAGCAAACGACTCAGTGACACCTCCCTTGCACCACACACCCGCCACCGTGCCATTGTAATAATCTGATAAAATGTTTAACATTTTTGTCGACACTCCCAAACATGATAATTTATAAATCCACAAAAAAGTAAAACAGTTTTTCGTTTCTATTAATACTGATTTCAATCATTGATGATAAATTAAATATATTGTCCGTAGTTGTATAATATTTTCTAAAACCAGCCTGAAACTCTCTCTGTCAACTCTGATCATGATAGTTGATGTTGATGTCCACATAATCATGGGGGAAACTTAGAATTTTGCTGTGATCGCAAAAGACAATGATGATGTCTAGACATGACTACTGAATATATTCAGGATTATGCAGAAGACGATGTTTACAAGACCGCGGGGGTGTTCTCGATTCTGCCGTGATCGCAGGCGATGTTAATGATATCTTCCCAAAACAATTACACACCGCGATGGCATGGGACAATTATAATATTTTTGTGATCTGAACTGAAAGACTATTTTGATGTAAGCAAGACCGCAGGAGATATTGAAGATTTTGCCGAGATTGCAGAAGATTGATTAGATACCTCTGTGTTTTACCCCATCATCATCAGTTTACTGGCAAAAATGGAGATAAGTGTTTGTAATCGAGTCGTGTAGCGAACTTTGGTTGAAGGACGACTGACTACCCGGGGCACTTCTTGAGCGGTTCTCTCCTACCGCCCCTGGCGTCGGGGTTGAGAACTACGGTCATCCCCTCCATATGACGTCACTATGACCAGCGTTTGTGGCGGCCTTTTCGTGAAACAAATTTACGTATTTGGAATGACCGTTAAATATTACTCCATGTCAATTTTTGACCCGTTAAACGACAAGACCATTTATTTATCTATTTGTCGTATAAGTGGGGGGGTGGGGGATTATTTAGAATAGTATTAGGGGAAGTAAATTATACGGTGCTGGTATCTGTCTTCATCTGTAGTCTGTCTTTGATCTGTCTTGCATGGCAGCAACTGGAGCTCAGAAAACCCTTGTATGTATAATTTACATGTTTATTTTTTCATATAGTGACATAAAAGGTTTTTTTGAGAAGGCGATAAATTACTAATCTACTAATAACAATGATTTAGTGATTTGACTGTTAAAATAAATGCAATTGTTTGTTACATATGATATATTTATATATTTTAGAACAGTAGTGGACCATTGTGAGGCCAGTGTTGTCCGTGAATATGCTGCTAAACTGTTGACAAACATCAACAAGCATTCCATTTGTAAGGTGAGTATGTTTACAACCTCTCAATTATTTTATGGCTTGTTACTTACTTTCCGTGTCCGGAAATCAGACTTCGCTTTTCCAAAAATTAGCTACCGATATAGCTTTGTCATTCGCTTGTAAAAGATCATCTAATGTGCAAGACTGGTCTAGGCGTGGATAGATCAGCAGATGGCCAGGATCCTGAACAGCACCACAGGCACACAAGATGTTTTCTTCGTCTGGTAAGAGAACCCATTTCTGCATGTTTGTCTTGAATTTGGTACCTCGACCCTGATTTGATTTAGGGTCTTCCACACCGTGTAATGCAGGCCTCCACCAGGAGCCAGTTCCTCCCTGGCTGGTATGGGAGGGTTAGTCAACGTGACCTCCCACCTTGACACGCGATTGCTTGAGAGTGATCCATCCAGGACTTGTGTCCGTGATAAAAAGCTCTTTCTGGACCGAAGCCGTCACTCTGCAGGTTGGTGGCCGTGTAATGGGTGACGAGGGTCAGTCTCTTGCTTAGTACTTTCCGCGTCGGCAGTGACATCTGGTCGGATTGATGGAGGGGCGATCCCTATGATAGGATAGAGTTTGTGCACTGGGGTTGGTTTCAAACACCCAGTTACAATCCGAGCCATGTCATTGACTGCAATGTCAACCTTTTTTGCACGTGACGATGCATTCCATATACTGGTGCAGCATACTCCGCAGCCGACACACTGAGCGCTAAAGCTGAGATTGGCTTGTTGATGGCTTATTGATGAAGTTTGTTAGTAAAAACTAAAAAAAATGTTAAAATGCCCTTCTATACTTTTAGAAATGATGCCAATAGAATAAAATAGTGTACAGTAAAGTGTCATGAATCCTTAACAAAATAAATAACAACAAGGGGTTGGGAGTAGAACAGTAGGTGTTACTATGCAAAATTAGGTCACTTGACTTAATTCAATTCTATTTTGTTCTATGTTAACAGTAGAATAAATAGTATTGCTACATAAGTGATGAAACAAATTACAGGTATTTTTTGCATTACTCGGACGGATAGTAGAAAGTGATATTTGATCTAAGTTTCACTATGCAGTATCTTTTTATGTGTCATGTTGGTGATGTTGTCATAGCTCCCAAAAAGTCAATTAAAAAAATAATATCTTACAATTAGTATGTAAGCAGTACTTGCAGGATAGTAATTTCTCTTTGAGATGTGGCTAAAAGATAACAGAGCTGGTTTTCCAAGAGACAGTGCGAGCCCCAAGGCCAAAAATCATATAGCCGAGTCTCCTAACATTGTTCCTTCACATTCTATCCGATGCGACGACATTAGGTTGCTTGGTTAGGCCTTTGTTCGTTTCACATTACAGTAATTATTGTTTCACTGTAAAATTGTTTGTGAAGCTCGGTAAACGTGCAACAGAAACTTATTCTCCCTTACAAGGAGTATGGGGATTGATGTAAGTACACAGGTTTTTGAATGGCATAAGAATTTCAAAGAAGGGGGAGGATATGTGGAAGGTTATGCGCGCCCAGGACCTCTTTCAAAGGCAAAAACTTAGAAAAAATAAGCAATATCATCTGTCAAGATTATCTTAAGAGCATCCATGCAGTTCAAGAGACTGTAGGAATTGAAAAAGAATCAGTTAGATAAATATTATTGGAACATTTCAATATGAGAATAGTCTGTTCTATAATGGTGCCAAAAACCGGTCGTCTGAACAAAAGCACTCCTCACAGATGGAAATATGTTCTGACACCTTGAAAAACAAAGAAATATGCTTAACTGTTAGAAAGAGTAATTACATGGAATAAATTTTGACCTATGACCCACAAACTAAGCGCCACTCAATACACTTTGCGTCCCAGTGCCGTAACACACAATTCATCAATACAATCCAATTTGTACTGTACCACCTGATCCTTTGCTTCAGTCTGTGAAGGGTTTAAAAAACGGCCAACCTCTTATAACAGTTTTTGATCCGCGTACTAAAGTTAGGCACGCCTAACACTAGGCGTGTACTAGCTGGGTTGCTCCCAAACTGCCTCAAAATGTATTTTTCTCAAATTTTTCCTGAAAAAAGTAGCCTACAACCAAACTATCCAAAAAATTAAGGCCTGTCAATAATTGTAGACAAGTTTATAAAAGTCTTTGAAGTTCCTTAACCCCTTAACCGCGGCCTAAGTTGGCGTGCCGTGGTTTTGACACGATCAGTGGCGGGTGGTTTAATTAAGCTCGCCGATGGCCCAGCACGCGTTTTTCGTGGTTTTTTAACATTCTGAGGAAACCTAGTTTTAAAACGTATTTTAAAGCTATTAACTATGATAAATTTTATAATAAACAGTGTAACAGTATTAATGTTTGCTTAAATGATAATTTAATTTTAAAATTTTATAAATAATTAATAATAATAAACTAATAAATTATTAATAAAATGTTCATAATTACTTATGGGTTTTACTCTGTTGTCTGGTCACATGAGTGGATGTTTCAAGAAGTACTAAATATTGAAAAATATATATATACACTATGTACAAAGTTTACTTTACACTTTTAAGAAATTCTTCAGGGTATGATACTCCCTGAAGCACTGCACTACGCACAAGGAAATCGCACAGTCCTGGAACTGATACCGTGACTCCCGCCTGGCCGGTTCACGTTGCATAGTGTGACGGCAAACATAGCACTGACATGAGGGATGCTCTTTTTTTCTGTTATAGATATGATGGAAAATGAAACTGTGTCAATCTCAGTGGTGTATCACTAGGGGAAGGACGACCACCGGTTTTTTGACTGTGGGTCTGAGCTGGCATGTTTTCCTTTAAAAGTTGGCAAACTAGCTCTAAATGAAATTCTGCCAGTGTTGGTTTCTTGCCACTTACACATAGGTAACTAACACCACCAATAATCCAGCATCTAGAATGACATTTTTCACCAAAACATACAGTGATTATCCAGCAAAATAGATTCATTAAAATTACTATCGATGATTTAAAACCTGAAATTATAATCTTGACAGAACACAAATTGACAATAGATCAGATAAATAGTTTTGTACTTAGTGGCTATAACACAGTTACGGTAGTTATTATGTTAGGAACAATAACCAAGGAGGTGGGGTTATGATAATGGTTTCAAATGTGATTAAATGCAAAAAGATTACCAGTAAATGTGTGACAAATTAAATATTGAGAAAGTTTTTGAATTCTGTTCAATAGAAGTCAAAACAAATAATGCACACAAAATTTATTTTAGCTGGTATTTACAGAGCCTTGTCTAGGAATATTGATAGTTTTTTAGAACATTTAAATAAACTTTTACATTGCTTAGGAGATATTAATAATAATATTTGCGTTGGTGGTGATTTTAATATAGATATTTTGTCTGAAGATAACAGAAAAATAGATTTTGTTAATTTATTAAAATTGCAAACTGTACCAACTAGAGTTACAGATACAAGTGAAACAGTAATAGATAACTTTATTACTAACATTGACAAAGCCTATAGTGCTGTGTTTAGTAACTGCACTCTCAGATCATGATGGGCAATTGCTCACAATAAATACTATGGGTAAAGAAAAATCCAATAACCCTAAAATATTATTGGAATCAAAAAAGATTTTTAGCAAAAATAACAACAATAGTTTAATAAAAGATTTTGAATGTGAGAACTGGACACAACTTTACCAAACCCATATGTTGAAAAATTTACATTTTTTACAATATTAAAAGGTAGGTATTACTTTGATAAGAATTTTCCTGTGACTAATGATTGCACCAAACACAGATTTAGGAATTGGATGGATAGACAGATGAAAGAAGAAAGGCTAAACTTAATAAACGCTTGTAAAAACAAAAGGAAAAATAAAAACGTCAGAGTTGAATTGTACATAAATCATATCTGAGCGGTCTACAGAGCCCATGCTATATATAGTTATATTCTGGACACATTTTGGCTTCATAACCTTTTCTTTTGTTACGTAGTTCACTTTTCCGGATTCAACTACTTTATTGTCATGTTCTTTTGTGATCATCATAACTTCTCTTTTATCTGCCCACCTTACAACCATGCTCGTCCCATCATTGACAACCCCCCGTTCACCAGCTAGTAACTCTTTCTGAAATTCAGGCATACCTATTCTCTCCTATATTACTGTACATATTACTGTAGCATTGGTTTTGTTCAAATGCAAAAACATAAACAGATCAGGACTACTATTTCAATTATCAACGTACAAACAATGACCTTTGTTCAAGTAAGGTGGGAGAAGTGTTGTGACAAAAGCACCCTACAAACCTAGGTTTTCTGTGTCATATATCTCAGATTCTTTTCCAGTGTACACAATGACGTCAAGAACATACCCTGATTCACAATTGCACAAAACATAGGTCTTTATCCCAAACCTTTGGAGGTAATAAACTGTTTGAATGCTAATCTGCCTTTGAACAATAGAAGACTTCGTCAATACATAAGATCATTTATCTCTGGAGTTGCATCTAAATTAGAACGGTCAAGATCCCCATCATCACTCATCCATCTGCCATCATCTGATAAGTCTTCACGGGGTCCTAGCTCCGAGCTGGGCAGTTCCAGGAGCCGTAACATTTCGTCATCGGCCATTTCAATAACTGAGTAATCACCATCAACAAAAACAGACAATATTGCATGTAAAAACAAAAACATATAATAGAATAGATATAACAGAAACAAAGGTTTTGTATTATCAACACGAAGATGCAACGCTACAATAGCAACTACCAAGTGCGACCTTTGACATTTGATACTGCATAACACGTGGTGTAGACGTAGTTCCAGAAAGATACACTTGAGTGCAGCACCAAATGGTCTGTCAATTCTCAGGGTCAATGTACCATTGAAAAAAATTAGAAGAAGACTTATTTCAACAAAATAAATCGGCTGAGAACATCAAAACCGTCTAAACTCGGGCGTCGTGGATTAGAGGCATCGTAGCCACAAGGCTGTTGTATGTGATATTTCGAGCGTTGCAATAGTGTGTACAGAATACTACCACAGAATAACACATGTGTCGCGGTTAAGGGATTAAAATCTATAGTTTTGCACATTAATTGTAACATCATAATGTACCTTATGCATTTAATTTTTTCAGTAAAAAAATACCATGATTACAGGAAATGATGGTGTCTGCCAGAGATGTAAACTTGTTCCAAGAGTTTCGTGAGTCAGTGAATCTTGTAGCTCTTGCAGCTGTTCAATCACACCTAGGTAAGATTGACTGACCTCATACAAGCTAATTTATCACAATTGTCTTGGATTGTTTATTAAGGTTTAAATTAAATCTAGTCAAATCTAATGTTACATTTAGACAAATTCTTTACATGACATTATTTTATTATTAGTTCCATATGAGCTAACTCAGGGTGTCCAGCTGACCTGGAAACTTGGAAAACCTGGAATTGTACATGTATATTTATGACCGGGAAGAAACAAGCTGTCTAGTAGCTGGGAAGAACGGTAAAGTCAGGAATTAGTATTGAATATCAAAATGGTCTGGAAAATTTGGGATTTAGTCTTTATTTTAGGAATTTGATAGACCATGTAAAATCTAATCAAATATTCATGATTTTGCCACGATAATGATCACTTTTCCGTGACCGCGTGAGACGATGATGCTGACTACATGGCCGCAGGAGGTTATTGGAATGTTGACGCGATCGAGGAAGATGAAGATTACGTTTTCTTGACCACGGGAGTTAATGAGTCAACATAGCTGCGGGAGTTAATCAGAATGTTGTCGTGATCGTGGAAGACGAGGATAATGTCTACTCGACCACGGGGGATGGTCAAGTTTTTCCGCGATCACGCAAGACGACGATGATGTTTACGTGATCACAGGAGTCGATTTTGACGTGTAGACTGCTGAAAGAGAAAATTCAAATTTTTTACAACGGAAGAGGACGATAATGTCTACACGACCGCAGGAGATTATAGGAATTTTTTGCGGGAGACGATGTTAATGCATAACCGGGAGGGATGTTCATGATTTGCCATGATCGCGGGAGACAATGGTGACTTCTACACGATTGCGGAAGATTATAAGAATTTTGCCGCGATCGCAGTAGACAATGATGATATATACAGGACCACGGGAGATGATGATGATGTCTATAGGACCACGAGAGACGACAAAGATGACTAAAGTTAATCAGAATTTAGCCGCTATTGCAGAAGACGATGATAATGTCCACATGACCGAGGGAGATATTTGTGATTTTGCCACAATCGCGGGAGTCGTTGATAACGTTTCCGTGACCGTGGGAGACAATGATGTATATTCAATATCATATTCAATATAAATATCAATATATCAAATCAATATATTCAGGATTTTACCATGACTGCAAAAGACAGTGATGATGTTTCCGAGATTTTGCAGTGATCCCAGAAGTCGACAATGATGTCTCCACTATCTTATCTTATCTTATCTAACAGGGGCAGGTCGAGACCTTAAAGCACTTCATCTGAAATCGAATTATTGCGTACCGATGTCTCCACTACTGCAGATTATCACGCTATTAGAGTACACTCCCGACTAACCAAGGTCGTTGGGACCGAGAGTACCTCGGTTACCAAGAACTACCCAGTGCTTGGATAACACGTAGGTCTCGTAGGTTTTGAGGTTAGGGTATCTACCTTATTATGAAGTCAAATACTAAGTAAAATATATCTTTAAACAACACACAGCAAATAAAGAATGATAGGTACTTTCCTGTTAAAGGGAACATTCATTATTATCGATGATTTTTTTATCGATATATCGATGTTTTTGTTTTCCGATCCATTACAAATTGACAACAACTAACTGATCTTATGGATTAAGAAATGAAACTGTTCTAAGCTAACCTAACATAACCAACCAAACTTGCTGTACCATTTAAAAAATTTCGTTTGCGTTTGAATATAAAAGGCAAGTTACAAACACTGAATTTTTAATTGTTACAGCAAGTTTGGTTAGTTATGTTAGGTTATTTTGTTTAGAACAGTTTCATTTCATTAATGTTTGTTGATACTGAACAATATTTTTCGTAGTTGTCAGCTGATATGTTTCAATTTGTTAATATCGATATATCGATAAAAAATCATCGATAATAATGAATGTTCCCTTTAACAGGAAAGTACCGAATGATAAATTGTCAATTTCATCAAACTTTTTTTCCAAATAACATAGTATTGTTTTATTGAAGAAAAAAAAAATACACAACAATCAAGTTCAAAATAACCAATGCTATTGAGCAAAAGCTTAGTTGCAATCTGGTCATCAGTCTTGATTCCTTTTATTTGCATGTAGTTTTAGAATCTTTCCAAATAATGTTTGAAGTATTCCTTTTTAGAGTTGTATGATTCAAAACTGGTTACAATCATAAAGCTACCTGTTTGTACCTATTGTCCTCGATTCGAAACAGTATTTAGGACTTTTTCATTACTTGCTACGATGGTTTAAATTAAGGTCTTCAAATTGTTGAGGATTCATCTTGTGTATTTGAATAGTTGTGAGTAAAATGAGTATTTGAATTGAAACTGTAAATGATCATACTTGAAACTAACTGATTGAAATAAAATAAGTTTTGAAAATTTTAAGTAAAACTGACAAAAAAATTTTATTGGGGGGTGATTTTAATATCGATGTTTTGAGGGAAGACAATAAGAAAAAGAAGTTTGTTAATGTTTTGCAGATGCATGGTTTTAAATATACAATTAAAATTCCTACTAGAGTTGCTGAAAAAAGTTTATCTGCCATTGATAATTTTATTACTAATTTAGATAACAAATTTTTTGAAGTAGAATGTTTAATTACAGCATTGTCAGATCATGATGGACAACTTTTTAAAATCCTCAGTTCAAAAAAGTACAAAAAACAATTTAAATCTTAAAATACATAAGTATGAAAGAAGGTATAAACAAGAGAGCATTAACCTTTTCATTTATTACCTTTCCAAAGAGGATTGGACAAAACTTTACAACTGTAATGTGGAAGACAAATTTACTTATTTCTATAACATTTTAAAATATTACTTCGATTTACATTTCCCTAAAACAAAAATAGTTTCCAGTAATGTAAATAATGGATGGATTGATGATGAAATTATCAATGAGCATCATGAAATAATTGCAGAACATGACTTGTATAGAGATGATAGAAGTAACATAGCATTGAAGAATTATATTAAGGAGCACAAGAAGAGATACAACAAAATGATAGAACTTAAGAAAAAAAACTATTTTGACAATAAAATTAGAAATTCTACCAATGTTAACAAAACTGTTTGGAAAATTGTGAACTCTGAAACAAAAAGTAAAAAAGAAAGATGTCATAGTAATATTTCACTCAAACATAACGACAAAAAAATAGAAGAACCATATGCTGTTGCAAACATCTTAAATGATTATTTTGCTGAGATGGTTGACAAAAATGTTTTACCAAAATTAAAGAAAACCCAACAAAATTCTGATAAAAGTATTTTAAACATAAAATTTAGGTGTCAAACCATCGATGAACCAATTTTGACATCCATAATTGATTCAATAAAACCTAAATGGTCATCCGGTTATGATGAAATTCCAATCAAAATTATTAAAGAATCAAAATCTGTTTTGTTAAAGCCACTTTTACATGTGATTAATACATCACTAATAACAGGTGTTTTCCCCGCTCAACTAAAAATATCAAAAATAATTCCAGTATATAAAAAAGGTGATAAAAAAGATCCGCAAAACTATAGACCATTGGCAATTCAACCTGCTCTATCAAAGCTATTTGAAAAAAGTTTACTTTTTCAACTACAGTAGTAGATTATTTTGAAAACAACCACTTATTAGATCAAGAACAACATGGATATAGAAAAAATAAATCTACTACTACAGCTCTAATTTCTTATATTGAAAATGTATTTCATAAGTTAGATGAGGACAATTATGTTGTTGGCGCCTTTTTAGATATGTCTAAGGCTTTTGATAGCGTGAATCATTTAAAGTTACTGCAAAAACTCAGAGAATATGGAATTAGTGGTAAAGAACTGAACTGGATAAAATCTTATTTAGAGGGCCGCCAACAGTTTGTTAACATTGGGTATTTAGATGGAAATAAGATGTACAATGTTAGATCTAATGTTAGGGAAGTTAAGTATTCTGTTCCTCAGGGATCTGTGTTGGGTCCGTTCCTGTTCCTGTGCTACTTGGGAGGAATGCCAAAACATTTATCTGAACGGGTAGAAAACAATGTCCTCTGCTTGTATGCAGATGACATAAGTATGTCTATGCATGAAAAGAATATTGAACTTCTTGAAATAAAAATGAAAGATTCGCTCAAAATAATTGGAGATTATTTAAATGAAAAAAACCTTTTACTGAATAAAAACAAAACAACCTTCATCAAATTTGAGTGTAAAAAGTCTGGCGAAAAGATATTTGAAAATTTTGCATGTGAAACCAAATTTTTAGGTCTAACCTTGGACAGTACACTAAAGTGGACCTCACATGTCGATAAAATATGTAATAAAATTAGCTCCGGTATTTTTACTTTAAGACGACTATTTCCCCTTTGCAGTAAAGAAATTTTGCGTGTGGTTTATTATTCAAATATACACTCCCATATTGCTTATGGCATTGAAATTTATGGTGGAACAAATAAATCCAACTTAAATGAAATTTTACATTTACAAAAAGAGGCCATAAGGTGCATCCTTAATTTAAATGAAAATGAATCATGTAAAAATCGTTTCAAAGAATTAGAATTCTTTACAGTTTACAGCCTCTACATATATAAGACTATATTATATGTTAAAAGCCGGGAGTCACAACTGCAAAGACAGCAGGATGTACATACTTACAATACTAGGCACAAACAAAATTTTATAATTAAAAAGCATAAAAAAGAAAAATTTAAAGAAAGTCCTGATTATATTGGGGTTAAATTTTTTCATTCTCTCCCTTGTAGCATCAGAAATGAGGAAAACAGAAATAAGTTCAAAAAAAAGCTTAAGAATTTTCTAATTAATGGAGAGTTTTATAATTTTGAAGAATTTACTGCACTATGTTCAAATATGTAAATAAACATGTAAATATGTAAAATACCCCCGCCGCAGCAAACCTGCAGACTTAGCGAATTTCCATTTGCCTGATTGGTTTTAAACTAAAATGTCTCCTTAAAAATATCACATTTATTCCCAATTTAAACAGAATTAGTTTAATGAGTACTTAGGTTTGCTGCAACAGGGAGGGTAAAAAGTTTTTTTTTATGTAAAATATTAAAAGATACTGTGGTTTAGTAAGAAATTAATGTATTTTCCAAATTTGATCAAAATATATTCATAAACAAGCAAACAACAACAGTTGACTTATTCTCCATAAGAATAACATGGGAATTTTAAAATTACAATTTTTTTGAATTTTCTCCGTAACAATTAGGCGCATAATAACGCTTCAATATACTAAATTATTTGTTTTTTTAAGCTCTACAAAATGGTTTAAAAAGAAATTGTGAAATTTTGTGTTTTTAGGGTCAAAAATGGGAAAAACCTATTTTTACCCCATAAAACCCCCCATAAACCCCCGTTCCCATAGTCCGATCATGCTGGTTCGCGAACTCATTCAAGTTTATCCCGCCTTACACCTTCAAACCAAATTTTATCAAAATCGGACAAAAATTACTCAAGTTATCGTGCGGATGGACACATATATATATATATATATATATATATATATATATATATATATAGATATATAAAAATTTGAACGAATGGTGTTTTTGGCCTCTGGGGACATCAAAATGAAAAAGTAAATCGGTCCCGGGCTTAGGTCTTACCATGAGACCTACGGTAATAGCTACTTCCCTATAGGGAAATTCGCTAAAAACAAAAAAAATGGATCAGGAAAATGGTTTTAGTATTAGTTATAGTTTAAGATTAAGACGCATTCATGTACACATTGTTGTATGTCTGAATAAAGATTTATTTGACTTGACTTGACTTGACTGTTTTAATCTTGTCGCCAAAACACTGTTGTGTCATGTTGAATAAAAGAATATTTTTCATGTAGTTGTCTTTTATTCACAATATTATTATTTACACACATAACAACAAATGTAAATAATAATGTAAATAATAAAAGCTCTCCGTACAGCCGCCATTTGTCTTTTTCACAAAACTATTTTTTATTTGTGGTGGTTTTGTAGTGAATTGAAATTTGGTACATCGATTAACAATCCTAAGACCTATTTTGAACGAAAAGTATTATTTCTCTTTAATATTTAGTTTTGAAATGGCAGTCATTTAACAATTTAAAAGTTAAATTACATAAAAACTACTACAACTGTTGTAACATTTTATTCACACAAGCTTATTACAATTCTAACAATACCAAATTTATGAAAGTAACCTACATAAATAAGGAAGAAAACCTATTTTTAAGATACTGGGTTTCCAACAATTTCTGCAGCCATTGAAAAACATCACACCTAGTAAGCTAAAACAATCAGCTGCTTTAACTGTTAGTTACCCAATGAGTTTAAATATTTCTGTACATAGTATCTTAATGAGTTTTTTTCCTTTACCTATGAACCAATTTTTTAAATTTTGGTATCGTTAGAATTGTAATGAAATTGTCTACATACAACATTGACACCATGGTTTTGTTTACCTCTATAGTTTTTAACTGAGTTAAATTTTAAACTACCGCCATTCTAAAACTATAAATTACTAGCTGGCCCGACAGACGTTGTCCTGTCCTTATGTGGTTTTATGTCAAATGCTCGTTCATTTTCAAGATGAGCTCGTTCGCATGGCTCAATTACGTCCTAGTTGAAGTAGGTTGGAGCTCGTTCGCTGCGCTCACTTGCCTTCAGGTTAGCTCGTTAGCTACGCTAACTCGCCTCCAGGTTTAAGTTCGCTCGCTACGCTCACTCACCTTTTGGTTGCAAATTAGCTGTTGTCATAAATAAAAAAAAACAATAGTGCTGCACCCTGTTGGTAACCTATTAACTTTTTAATGCTGTTGAACATCACAGAATCAAATTGTTTAGTTGAACCAGCTGTTAAGATTCTTTAATTCCATTTAAATATGAGTACTCATAAGGTTAACATGGGAAACTCCAGAGCCACTGGGGCGGAGCCCTTTTGACGGATCTGTACCAAACTTCACACAAACCATCCTTGAATAATGCTTAATAATGCCTGAAAGTTTCATTACAATCTGTCGAGCGGTTTTGGAGTCCATAAAGGACAAACATACAAACATACATTGGATTTTATATATATAGATAGACTAGTGTATATGTTGCTCGAAATCGAGCAATTGCAAAGAAGTAAAGTAGTTACAGTATTTAAAAGCAAATAACTTATTTAAATACGAATAAAAGTCATAATTTCCTATGAAAATACTCAACTCATAGATTACGTACCTAACAGTTCCATATAATCAACATTTCTTGTAAATATTTTATCATTTTTCAAAAGCTGATCTGGGTTTTTTAGTTTATTCTACAAATCTTTCCCACTTATAGCCGCATTAGTTTGTTCATGTTGATCTTTGTCAAAGATAATGTAGTCTGCATAGTACTACCCGTTAAAATCGGTTAGTTTCAATGATTGCTCAAGAAATACAGTACCCTGTCAATTCCTTTTTCTTTTTTGGTAAAATATATAAAAACAAACTGCGCCTCCAGGCTTTCTCGATTTTTTTTATTGTAATTTGTACAAATGTAAATTAAAGTTGTAAATATTTAATTTCAACAAAATCAGTAAATGTTGAAAAATAAATAACAGCAATTAAATTATATACAGCTGATCAAAATGTAAACAATTGTGTTCATCATAAGGATAACATGGGAACTTTCAAAGCCACTGGGGCAGAGCCCAAGGGACTTTTTCCAAAATGTAAGGCCAGTTTGCAAATCTACGCGACACGCTCTTTCCAATGAGACGTCAATGGATAAAATTGGTTTAGGAATGGCGGAGGAGTTCAACCGACAAACTTCGTGTTCGCGTATTAATTATATAGATAGATAAAAAAATAATAACTTTTCCCTACTCAGAATTGTACCTGCGTTATTAATCTATGTAGGCCTAACAAATTTCAATTCACTAAAAAATAACAGTTAACAAATAAAAAATAGTTTTGTGAAAAAACAAAACGCGATACAGTATGGGTAGTTTTAGGCTTTTTGAAATGTTATACAGGGTGGGGCAATGAAAGCGCCCCAATTTATAAACAGTACAAACTCAATAATATTCATCCTATGGATATAAATAGCACACCAAAACACAGCTTATCTTTTGCCATTTTAACTTAACAAAGTCATTTTCCCATTTTCTTGAGAACAAAATCCTACAAGTGACTTCATTGTCCTACTTGACATTCCTTTTTAGCCACTTGAAACTCCATCAAATACTCCTCCAGCACTTCTTCAGGAATCAATTTAGTTTTTGGACTATCCTTAGCTTCGGTTCAAGCAAATCTGTGGGAACCTAGAACGTCAAGTAGCTTATTAGAACAACCCCCCCCCCCTTCCAAAAAAATTAGCCAACGTAAAGCTTTCAACAACAAAAGCTTCCTGGCAAATCTCTTCGGACTTTGAGTTACTGGGACTCATATTCTTTTAACATTTGCTAGTTTTTGCGGCACCCACCGGTTATTATTTTTTTTTTTTTTTTTTAAGCGATTATCCTAAATAATTTTACCCAGTTCAACATTGTTTTCCAATCTGGAACAGCGCCATGTTGACCAAGGATGGAATACGGTGTAAACAATCTCTTGGTTTTTGCACAAGAACCACTATTTTATAAATGGGTTTCCACATCAAAATCTCAGTGTTAATAGCCTCAGGCATAATGTTTACTAAAATGGCATAGTTTAATTGATGTTTTAAGCACAGCTGATCATTCATTGTTGCAACAATTAACATGTGACAGGTAAAACAAATTGTAGCGCTCTCATTGCCTCACCCTGTACTTGATATTTTAGTTTGTCTTTGATCGGTAGAGAGTTCGGGGACACCCTGTATAATAGTTCTTCCTGTGTTCCAGAGCAGAGTACTGGGATGTTACATACTGACCCGAGGTTTGTCAAAGCAGGCTGCTGGCTTCTCACTAATCTCCTGGTGTCTGCAGTGGATGAGATGCTTCCATCTGTGTCCTCCAGTGGGCTGACAACAGCACTGTGCAGGTATGTCTCCAGATAACATACAATGTTTGCTATGGGAAAATGTGGCGCAACTCAAGGGTGCTAGCAGAGTTGTTAAAGTAGATTCTGTTTTGGCTGAAGTAGTGAATTATGATCAAATCACATTCATTTTTTTACAAAAATCCACTACTAGATTTTATAATAAAAAAAAAAATTAAGGATTAATCCACCAAAAGAAATTTATTTTACTACTGACATTGGCTAATTAACATTGGATTTTGATTAATTTACGCTATACTAGTCTGCTTTGACTATCTTATACGATCTTGTGAATTAAATATTCTCTCAATCATTTTAGCCTCTGGATTGTTTATATATATTTAATTGATTTTATAAGGCCCTTACCTTAGCAATCCTATTTTATCGATCCGAAATTAATTTCAGACCCGAAGGTCCATCATCAGTCGGAGTCTAGGTTGCCCAAATCTTTATAGTTGAAGCCACCCGTTGGGTTTTGTAGAAAGTTTCATAACATTTCATTTAACACAATACAAGTCATAGTGGACACGATAATAGTAAAACAATTAGGGTTAAAAACCATGGTTTTCATAGTGTGGGATAACCTCACTTTAGTTAGGGAATACGTTGCCGGCAACTGTCAAAATCCGCTGACAGTATGAAATAAATTAATTTGCCAAATTTTATCAACATATATCCATAAACAAGTAAACTACAACAGCTTTTATTTTATCCATTAGAATAACACAAGAATTTTTAATTTACACTTTTTTTAAATTTTCTCTGTAATCGTTAGACATACAACACGGTGTCAATATACTAAATAATTTATTTTTTAAGCTCTACAAAATGGTTTAGAAAGAAATTTCAAAATTTTATGTTTTTTCAAAAATCCCCCATAAACCCCAGTTTCTATGGTCTGATCATGCTGTTTCGCAAACTCGTTCGAATAAATGTAAGTTTACTTGTATATACCAAATTTCATCAAAATCTTATCAATTTTGCTCGAGTTATTGTACTAATGGACACACATATATATATACAGGGAGCGGCAAAATGATCTGAGGGTTTTCTTTGCCGCCCTGTCGAGCGAATGAGTGGCGTAGGGTGGTGGGAATAGGGGCGTTACAAAGCCAACGTGTGGACACAGCCGTGGGATAGCTGAGAAACATGTATTTGTAGTAGAAGTGTTTTTAAAAGTGGAAATTCCTGTGTAGCGGTTCAGTACACGTTTCAATGTGGGTCCAAGGGGAAAAGTCCCATCTCAAAAAACCATTTTGCTGTGAGTAGGTAACTTCAGAGCTACTAGTTCAGCATTGAAAAAAAGCCAACAGGCTGTCCAAGTCCAAGGTCAGCCCGGTCGCCAGAGAACGCTGAGAGAGTAAGAGAAGCTGTGGAAGTTAGTGCTCAGTGGCCTAAACGTTAAGCTGCAGCTCTGTACTTGTCTGGCCGCTCAGTAGAAGAGTATTACAATACGACCTACATTTCCATTCATACAAAATGGCAAATATGCAAAGCGCATCTCTTTTTCAGAACAAGTAGTGATTGATTTTCTTGCGTGTAACAACATTTTCATTATGAGCGACGAATCAACCACAACATACAGTCTTCCTCACTCTCTTTAGTTTCACACCACGTAATCAGATATTAGTTTCAATGCTGAAATAGTAGTTCTAAAGTTACCCACCCACAGCAAAATGGTGTTTCGAGTTGGGACTTTTCTTCTTTGACCCACATTGAAACGTGTACTGAACAGCTACACAGGAATTTCCACTTTTAAAAACACTTCTACTACAAATACATGTTGCTCAGCTATCCCACGGCTCCATGGCTAGTAAAAATGTCCACACGTTGGCTTTGTAACGCCCCTATTCCCACTCCCCTACGCCACTCATTCGCTCGACAGGGCGGCAAAGAAAACCGTCAGATCATTTTGCCGCTCCCTGTATTATGAATTTGAACGAATAGTGTTTTTGGCCTCTGGGGACCTCAGAACAAAAAAGTAGGTCCTGGGTCCATGTCTTACCATGAGATCTACGGTAATAGCTTATTCCCTATGGGAAATTCGCTAAAACAAACTTTTTTGGGTTCAAGGGACCCAAAAAAGATACTTCCACCCAAAACTCAAATTTAAAATTTTGACAAAAACAATAGTTTCTCCATTAGCCTATTATATGGGGGAGAAAGTGAAAAAATGTATATATAACAGTAATAATCATAAACTTTTACAGAACTCTGCAGAGCATTGATAGACTAATGTCTCCGGAGATAGTGAGCTTGGCTGCAGCAGTGTGCAGACTTTTGGTTGTGTGCTGCGAAGCTGGCTGTGACATTGCGCAGCTACCTGACTGTGCAGCTGCAATAATGAGCTTCTTGGACCCTGACAGTTTTGATTTTGGTAAGAATTAATTTTCGTTGTTATTAGGTAAGTCTATCAAAATAAGCACAAGTCAATTAAAAGTGCTCAACATTTATTTGTTTTGGCTGGGTACAGTTTTATTCAATCGTTCCAGATCCTGCAGAGTCTTCAAAGGAGGTCCAGTCACTGTGGCAGGAAACACTGAGGTTGCTGAGTCAATGTGTTGGGCTTTATGGGTGCCGAGGTAATCCTCATCAATAAAACTGTCATTGTGTTGCCATTCCAGATCCCGCAGAGTCTTCAGAGGAGGTCCAGTCACTTTGGCAGGAGACAATGAGGCTGCTGAGTTATGTTTGGGCTTTATGGGTGCCGAGGTAATCCTCATCAATAAAACTGTCACTGTGTTGCCATTCCAGATCCCGCAGAGTCTTCAGAGGAGGTCCAGTCACTTTGGCAGGAGACAATGAGGCTGCTGAGTTATGTTTGGGCTTTATGGGTGCTGAGGTAATCCTCATCAATAAAACTGTCACTGTGTTGCCATTCCAGATCCCGCAGAGTCTTCAGAGGAGGTCCAGTCACTTTGGCAGGAGACAATGAGGCTGCTGAGTTATGTTTGGGCTTTATGGGTGCCGAGGTAATCCTCATCAATAAAACTGTCATTGTGTTGCCATTCCAGATCCCGCAGAGTCTTCAGAGGAGGTCCAGTCACTTTGGCAGGAGACAATGAGGCTGCTGAGTTATGTTTGGGCTTTATGGGTGCCGAGGTAATCCTCATCAATAAAACTGTCATTGTGTTGCCATTCCAGATCCCGCAGAGTCTTCAGAGGAGGTCCAGTCACTTTGGCAGGAGACAATGAGGCTGCTGAGTTATGTTTGGGCTTTATGGGTGCCGAGGTAATCCTCATCAATAAAACTGTCATTGTGTTGCCATTCCAGATCCCGCAGAGTCTTCAGAGGAGGTCCAGTCACTTTGGCAGGAGACAATGAGGCTGCTGAGTTATGTTTGGGCTTTATGGGTGCTGAGGTAATCCTCATCAATAAAACTGTCATTGTGTTGCCATTCCAGATCCCGCAGAGTCTTCAGAGGAGGTCCAGTCACTTTGGCAGGAGACAATGAGGCTGCTGAGTTATGTTTGGGCTTTATGGGTGCTGAGGTAATCCTCATCAATAAAACTGTCACTGTGTTGCCATTCCAGATCCCGCAGAGTCTTCAGAGGAGGTCCAGTCACTTTGGCAGGAGACAATGAGGCTGCTGAGTTATGTTTGGGCTTTATGGGTGCTGAGGTAATCCTCATCAATAAAACTGTCATTGTGTTGCCATTCCAGATCCCGCAGAGTCTTCAGAGGAGGTCCAGTCACTTTGGCAGGAGACAATGAGGCTGCTGAGTTATGTTTGGGCTTTATGGGTGCTGAGGTAATCCTCATCAATAAAACTGTCATTGTGTTGCCATTCCAGATCCCGCAGAGTCTTCAGAGGAGGTCCAGTCACTTTGGCAGGAGACACTGAGGCTGCTGAGCTATGTGTTGGGCTTTATGGGTGCTGAGGTAATCCTCAACTCTGCCTCTGTCACTGTGCTGAGTCAATGTATTGCTATTGTCGACCCTCAGTGCACTTCTCTTCGACTTACCGCACTACAGGCTGTACCTGCTCTAGCCACATCTCTTACACCAAGTAAGTTAGTTTTTTTTGCTTTAAATTTAAATTTAATAATTCCATTTAAACCAGTGTTTAGCCAATTAGTAGTATTAATTCCAAATATCTTCATTTAACACTATTATAACTCTCATGCCAACAGATAAGGTATTTTTTTTTGTTTAGTATTTATGTAATGTAGTTTTATCTGATTGAGGCAGACAGAGATAGAGTTTTTAGTCTTACACTAGTGTCCCTGTTGCTCGAATTCGAGCAATTGCTAAGTATTACAGGCGTTATTTTAAAACGAATAAAATTCATAATTTCCCATGTAATCTAATGGAGAAATACAAAACTTTAAAGGGCCCCAGGGCCTCACTCCCTAATTATTTCCCTAAAAAGAAAGTTTCCTGCACAACTTCACGTTACGTTCTTTCCAATGACACCAAAAACATGTCAATCGGTTCAGTAGTTTCGGAGGAGTAATTGTCACAAAAATCCTGCTTGCGTATTAAATAAGTATATATAGATAATGTCATTGCATTTTCTGTATCTTTGTCTTGTAATATTGATTGTTTTGGATTTAAATCGTTTTTTTTTTTTCTTTTTTTTCTACTTTGTTATTATATGGAGGCCACTTATTTTATTGTGATGTGCGGTGATGTGTTAGGTTGGGTTATCATAAATAAGTTTGATGAACTTTCTTCGTTTTGTTATGAATTTAACGATACCAAATTAGTACATTCTATTGATGATAACCCAACCTAACATAACCACCATAGCGCACTGTATAAGGGTGGCCTCCGTATAATACCAAAGTATCTTTTGTTTTTTTTTAGGCTATATTTTTTATTGTGTTGTACACATTATGCAATTTAAATCTTATGAACCAGAAAGATGATAGTGACATTAATACTTTAATAGCCTCATGGTTTGTTACTCAAGCAATTTATCAGGTTTACTCATGTGGGGGTGGGGCCTTGGTCTTTTGATTCTTTAAAAGAGGTGTAAAATGTACTAAGAAATTTTTATTGAGCCTGAGATAAACTTATGATTGATATGAATTGATGTTCACTTTGAAACTGAAAAGACAATAAATTTATTCTATGCTAATCCAATTATATTTTTCAATTTTTCATATTAAATTTCCTTTTTTTAGGTTGTGCAATAGTTGTATCTGTATCCATCTTATAGTAAACATATAATTAATTTTGAAACGGATAAGAAATCAATGTTGAATCATATATGCTGCTCCATTGATTCATTTGTTCCTCCAGATTCAGAAGCTGTCCTGTGTGAGAGTCTGGTAGCCCAGTGGGACAGAGTGAAGGGCAAGGCTAGGCCAGCTCTGTTGGCAGCACTGACAGCTCTGTTAGGACACTCCAGTTTTGCCACTACAACAGCACTCTCCCTGGGACTTGTGGCCTCAGTCATCACCAGACTCAGAGAGCTTCACCTCACACTCACCATACAGACCTCCTCTACTGACAAACTCGCTAAGGTACACAAACATTTAACATCATGTAAAACCAATTGGCAGTATTTAATGTTCAATGTGTTTGAGTTTTTGTCAACGATTAATTATGGGTTGGTTGTTTTTGGCTAGATGAGTTTGATGTGTTTTTTTTGCTGTTTGCCCTACTATTGTCTAGCCCCTGAATATTTCAGAAGACACATATGGAAATCAGAAACTTCTTTACATTTCATATCGTTTGAATTTTTAACTAGTGCGGTGTTTCGGCGTAATCATGTGTCTTCTGCGGCCATAGAAAAATGGAGACTATCTTCCATGGTCACAGCAACATCATCATCTTCTCATACAATTGCAGCAGAACCATGAACATTATATGCGATCACGGCAAATAAACTTTTTTTATCGCATATTTTTGCAGATGCTTTCTGTAATTGTGAAAATAAAAGCTTGGCTCGGCTTGGCCCAACCCAAATTTGGCTAAAAAAATATTTTCCTGTCTTGAAATGCTCCCTTAAGCCAATTGACCCGACTCAAAAGTTTTGGGATCCAAAGACCCATTCCACCCATACCCATTGCACCCATTGCATTAGAATAGGCTTTTTCTGCCAAAAGACGTAGTAATTTTTGTAACTAGTGCGCGAAGTGGCACTTTGCACTTGCGTTACATATTATATTTGTCCTACAGTTACTATAAATCATATAAATAATTAGTCTTTCAAACACTGTACAACTCATTTTTTGGTTAGGTTAAATCCAAGCGTTGAATGAATTGGGAAACCGTGCACCAGCTGATCGTCATCGTAGTATCTTAAAGTGTTATAAATGCCATGCTTAAAAGTTAATTATCATATACTAGGGGCTGCGGTGCACCGAAAAAGTCGGTACGGTACGGTACAAGCTTAATTACCGTCATCGGTTCGGTACAGCATTTTACACGGTACAAATTCGGTTCGGTACAGCCTATTATAATAATAAATTACTTTTAGCTTACTATCATAGTCAACGACAGTTGGTTCCGTGCACATAAAAGTCTTATCAGATATTTGTTTCCGATCTTCATAATTTATTACTAGGGTGATGATGCAATGAAAAACCCATTAGCAGTCCCAAATCATTGACATTTTATCACGACAAGAATTGTTGTATTCAAGTACTTCCAAGAACTGTTGAGTTTTATCACTTTTATTTCTTTACGACTTTCCCCAATTTTATTTTATCATAAAAATAATAGTTTTATGATGACTGTTAAATGTTATCTCTAACTCAGTCAGTATTTTCGTGAATATTCAATTTGCCGCTGGCCATTGCCTACTGCCATAAAACTGTTTATGGCTACATATTAAACTTGTAACTAATCTACAATCTTATTTTATAAGTAAAACTATTTGTTATAGATATTTTATCTTTCTATTGACGAAACCACAAGCATAGTTGTTGTTGTTTGCATAATTTTTTTTTTTTTCGTTATGCAAGCCTACTCCGTCTCAAATTATGTCATTGCATGTTCTGTATCTTGTCTTATATTGTTAGATGTGGCTGTTTAAGGCCTAAATGTTTTTTTAGTTTCCTGTATTTTTATTGTGTTGAAGGTACTTTATGCAATCTAAATCTTATGAACTAGATAGTGATTTTGCTACCCTCATTGTAACCTAATCAATTTATATATAGGCCCTCCTAAATAATTAGGTCTAGGCCTGGGTCTTTTGATTCTTTGGAGGAGCTTTAAAATACTAAGAAAATTGAATTGAGCCTGAGGTAAACTAATGATTGATATGTGTGGATGTTAACTTTGTAAATGAAAAGAAAATAATCTTACTCTGTGATATCCAAATTTTAGTTTCAGAAAAAAACTTTGCAAGAGTTGTATCCATCTTATAATTAGTTTTGAAGCTGATAAAAAAAGATGCTCTTTGCCATTACTTCATCATAACCTCCAGTTTTTCATTGCGTCTGCTGTGAACAGCTGGTAACTACACTGTCTTCGTACTGAATGCTTTTATATGTTTTTAAAAACAACTAGATATTGTGTTGTGTGAAATCATCTTATCAATAAATGTTTCAAACATGTTTATTCCTTAAAACTCTTATCCTAATTTTGAAACCACTTTATCATGGCTATTCAAAGCGTATCAGAGTAAAATAGGTAAAGCCTTTATCTTAACTGTGATTTCTCTTGACACAATCCTCGTAGTAGTAAAAGGTTTTGTTTTAATAATGTGTGGTACAGTAATTGTTGTTAAAAAACCATGAATGTAGGATACTATCCATTTTCATAGTAATGTCAATGTATTAAAGTTAAAAATAATGGTTTAAATACCGTTCTGAGAAGAAAACCGCAAAAATACGGGTAGCTGCGTACCGTACTGATTTTGTACCGAGAACCGAGGTACAAAATATTGTACCGTACCGAACCGTACCGACCTTAAATTTTCTGTACCGCAGACCCCTATCATATACTAATGTTGTCGTGTTGCCACCCTTGGAGGTGACTCAGGGTGGGGGGTTTGTCTTGGAGATTCTCTCTCTCTAAAATGGCTTTAACGAAATAAAGATGTTGTTTCCTCCACTTGGGTTTTTATTTTTATTAATAAATAGCCCATATTAAACATAAAGTGTTACCAACTTATTATCGTAGCGTATTTCATAAGCATACACGTATTACGTGGCTAATAAAAACACACTTTTTTGTGTTACATGGTTTAAATACTTGAGTGTGACAACAAAAATCTGTGTGGCCAAAGTAAGTAAATGCAGTGAGTTGTGACATTCGTCGGTGCGAGTTGCGAGGGCCTAGTTCAGCAGCAATTAGCTACTTGCTATAATCAGTGCAAGGAAGCGCATTCATTCATGCTAAGTAGTTTTTTGTTTACCCGTTCATACAACTTGATTAATATGAATATGATAAGAACAACTTTTTAACTGTTTAATGTTATGTTTCAAGGAGTATATAAGTTTTGTTTTAATTTAATTTTGTACTGGAACCAACAATGTATGATCAATTTCCCGTATAAACTCCAACAATAATTAATGTATCTAACAGCCACTAATATCAAACCATATTCAAACTTAAAAAAAAAAAAACACTCAAATAACGATCATTAGTCTTCCAGTAAAAATATTTAGATAGCACTTGTAATACACGTCTTAATACAAATGAGTATTGTTACACTGTAGAAAGACCCTCGGATGGTTGAGATGCTGCATCTAGTACAGCTGTTGTCAGCAGCGTTGTACCACAGTGGTGTAGCACGGCGTGAGGCTGCCACTCACGGTGCTGCAGACACTCTACACAAGCTGTGGGCCTGGTGTCATGCTGATGACAAGTATCTCATAGCTACACTCAACTGTCTCATCACCTTCACAGCTGACTGCCCCCTAGGTGAGTACACTATGCGTAGGGTGGTAGTTGGCAAGAAAACTACTGTTGTGTCCAAATACTAACAATATTGAAAACATAATGACTTGTTCAAGTCTGTGAAACTGCTGGGTATTCATATAGACAGGAGTAAACTCTGTTGGGACGAACATGTACACAACTTGTGCAAAAAACTTGCTCGTTTCACCTGTCTTTTAAGAAAACTGAAAACTTGTATTAACTCTGATGTTATTTTTATGATTTATTTTGCCTTGTTTCATACACTATCTTATCTATATATTTAATACGCTAGGCATATTTTTGTCATAATTGTTTTGAAGCTGCTATGCATCCGATCACCAAGTTTGAGATGTCGTTGGATAGGGTGTGGCACGTAGATTTGCCATCTATCAAAAAATCTTCCAAATTCTATCAGGGCTCTGCCCCAGTGGCCTTCAAAGTTCCCATGTTATCCTTATGGAGAAAATGTTTGTTTACATTTGAACAGATGAATACTTTGAAATTTACACTAATATTTGAAACAGCTGGTTATACTCAAATTGAAATTAATGGAAACATGACAAAGATTTTGAAGAGATAAAAATGTACACTGTTTTTTTTTTTTTTTTTTTTGTTTCACTGCAAAACACGTTATTAGGGTTCAGTGAATTTTAAAGTGAACTGACAGTACAGCAGTTAGGCCTACACGTAATTATTGTGATTTTTAAGATCTTTGTTTTACTTAAACTAAATAAAAGGATTATATTTAATGAGTGGAGAATATCAATATCCAAGGAACAATATATTTTATGTAATTGTATTTATTGTAAGAGATGGCATATACATTCTTCTCTATTTATGATAAGTGTACTAGAATAATGATCTGAAGTTATTGATATTAGTTACAAACATGTTTTTCACCTCCAAAAAGAATATTTGACTATATCGGAAGTTATGTAGCCGGGGGCCGTTTGGAGGGGTAATACCGGGGTTATGGTATGGTACCGGGAAGGGAGATCGGTGGGAATTCGGGTAATCAGGAGGGAATAAACAGGGTAATGCCAATAGGTTAGGAATAGGTGTGTCTGGACCAAACTTAATTTGAGCGTGCTGAATCTGCTACCAATAAAATTAGGAAGATTGCTGGGGACCAGAGGGACGGAGACCTTTTACCCAGATCAGAACACTTGCCTAGCCAGCTTTGATTTGCACTAATTGAACTAACTATTTAAGTATTAACCTATCCTTCCAACTATGAACTGAACTTGAATAATTACTTACTAATATTGATGAGTGAGTGAAATAATAAGTAAATTGAATACTGAATGGTTAACATGTATGAATTTGATTGATAATTGCTAAGCTACATTCTGGGAACATGTGGTTTGTTTTTTTCATGTTTGAAAAGGTTGGTTGCAGAAGGCAACCAACCGACTGAGTTGTGATTTCCTACATTTCAATGGTCGGGTGAGCAAGAAAGGCTCCCCGCATGTTACCTGACTTAGCCAACCATAATTGGTACTTATATCTATCTACATAACTATACTAATTGTAACTTATCCATTTGTCGGAACGGACACCCTGAAAATCGGCTGTTTGCTCTTCCAAGGATCATAGACCAAGTACAAGAAGGAAGAGTAGGGAGGTGGGGATAGAGCGTTGATGCAGTCGCGGCAGGCAAGGAGATGTCATGCAGCCCGGCTTCGCGAAATGCTTACACTATATAATATAGCGTGGAAGGGTGAGTCCCAAAGATTCTGTAAAACACTATTATTGTGTTAAACAGGAATCTTGAAAAGTCGTCAGGCTTGATTAAGGAAGGTAAAAGTATAAATTTTTAAAAATATGGAAGAAATGTACAAAAAAATGAAAGGAGTGTTCATGAAATTATCAGGACATGCCAGAGAAAATAGAAGTATGACTAGGAAGCATTTGATGACGTTGTACAAAGGGTGTTAAGCTAGCAATGCTTTACGGATGCAAGTTCTAGGGTAAGGATGTTAGGACTGAAAGATTTTAAAGTAAACATTTGAGTATGGTATGCAAAGAAGAGTTTTCACGCCAAATAAGTCCCAGACTTCAGCCAGAGGTGGTGGTGAAAACGAGGGGGTTTCCTAGGAAGAGAGAAGATTTTTCACGGGGGATTGGCCTGACAAATAAGTCCCAGACTTCAGCCAGAGGTGGTGGTGGGAACAAAGGGGTTTGGTTCATGATTTAGGCCTAGGTTATCATCTATTAATCAAAAGAGAATCTTTTACTGACTTTCACAAAAAAAAATCTGCAAAAACGGCAGGTAAACTGCAAACTCAATTAGGCCTTTTAGTATCACCAGCTTTAGCAACAAAACCAAGAAAAGAGAAAACCCCAAATAAAAAAATCAATAAAAATCCTTCTTCTCCTTTGTTTAATTTGCACACGACCAGTTTATGGTATAAGACTATGGGGCAATTCACCATCAGCGAAAAAAGTGTTTGCTTGGCAAAAAAAAGCAATGAGGGTCATCTGTGGCCTAAATGAAAATGATTCATGCTTAACAGTCTTCCCTGAACTTAGCACATTTACTCAACCTAGTCTATTTATTTACTACAATCTTGTCTTTGTTAAGAAACAGCACCCATATTTAAAAAAAAAAAACCCCTCTTCTGTTCATTTGCATAACACCAGACAAGACAAAAAGATTACATTGTTGGACCTAGTATAAGACTTAAGAAGTATTATAAGAGCCATAAAATTTCAATGTATAATAAACTGCCAACCAATGTTAAAATGTTACCACCTAAGAAATTTATTTACCAATGATATTAGCAAGTGGATTAAAGTTAAGGCAAATTAAACCACTGAAGAGTACCTGAGCTGTGACACTCAAGACACTATCCATTGAATTGTGTTAATACTTTGACGACTCCTATTGTATATCGTATATTTAATGGTGAATAAATTCTTGATTCTTGGGGTTGAATCTTAAAACAAAAAAAGCCTTATTTTTCACAAAGTTTAATGTTGTGTATTAATAACAGGGCTGTGCGTCCAGAAATTTTGGTTCGAATCCGAATCCAAATCAGAATCATAACTGTACAGATTTTATCAAATCGGGATCGAATCCCAATATTTTAATTAATCCCGAGTTGAATTTGGGTTGAATCCGAATCTCAAATTTACATCCGTTATCAAACACGGATCGAATCAGAATCTCAAATTTAAAGCTGTGTTTAGAATCTGAATATTTAAACCAGTTCAGAGTTGAATCCAAATCCAAGGAAAGTCAGCAGTAATTTACCAATTTTAACATTTTTAGACCACGTTTTCTGGGCTGAAAAAAATTAGGGAACTGCCTCAAAAGTGCCAGAAAAAAATTCGTAAAGAGGGCCAAATAAAAAAAGTTATAAAATTTAGGCCCACCTATTTGAAGTTTTGAAACTAAACAATTTGGCATAGTTAGGCCTACCATCTAGGCCTAAGTTACTCAGTAATAGTGATGGACTACCAATTTGTGTATTTTAAAACATAGGCCTAGCCTAAACACCTCAGTGTTATTCCTCTACATAAGCCTAAGTCTGAAATATACAATAGAACAATAGAATATAACAATAGAATATAGAATAAAGCACACTGAATAAATAGTCTATCTCAATTGAATCCTTCCGTCCAGTGGATTATTTTCTATGTTGTAGCCGACGGTACTTTGAAGTCCGATTTGCTGGCGAAGTTAGGCATTGACGATCTGGACAGCAGAGTGGTTCTTATAAATCCGTCTCGGGATTCAGCTCCACAGACTTTTCCAGAGGCTTCCGTGACGAGCTTCACGCAACGTTCAACAGCCTGTGTATGAACTGGGAATTGCGCGAAAGGAATGTTCCAGTCAGGAATTGATTCGTTCTCAATCTGTGATCTGATCTCATCATCACTTATATTTCTTAACAATGGGGGCGAGGATAGGTCACATTCAATCCAGTTAATAATTTCTGTGTATTCTTGTGCTCTGAAATTTATTTTTGGTGGAGTAAATGTTCTTATCCTCTTCCTTCTGGCGTCCCTCTGCCTTGCTTTTAGAATTCTCCGAAGTCTAAGCTCTCGTACGTGTTTCCTGTTATCTTGAGTCATTGATAATAGGAGATGTTCTGGGTGGGCGAAAAACCCGTTTCTTTCAATTACAGTGTCTATGACATCAATCAAAGGTTTTGGCAAATACCTTGTTGATTGTATTGCCTGGTAAACAAGTTTTGGACCGTCTGTGAAGTTTTTACTAGTTTTTATGGCAAACCATAGTGGCATGTACGATTTCAGTATAAACAAAACTAGATCTTGAAGTTCAGGGGAAGGGTTTTCCTCACTTACATACAATCTGAGAGTTTGATTGGCTTTTGTCAACCACCTTGAATGTGATAAGTGCCCAGGATCCCGTTCAGCCAAATCTTCTTTACAGGTTCCTGATACTATCGCTTTTGAAATATCAAGTAAGTATTGCTGATCTTTGCTGAGCACGTTTTTGTCTATCTGTGGAATCTGACAATCAATTCTCTGGAAGTTAACCACCGGCAGTTTTTGGCAGGAAACTAACTTTTCACCAATTGGCCCTTTGGAAGTACTAGGCCCCGTTGTCTTGCCATCCAGGTACTCAAACAAATGGCGAAATGGCAACTCATTGAAATGGAGGAGGCAGATAGCCCATTGTACAGGTTTTGTTAAATAAAGTTCAACTCGGCGTACTAGTCCAGTCTACCATCCGGTATTGACAGCAGTACCATCACATCCGATGACAATTAGATCTTCAAGAGAAATATCACGCTCAGACAGGTAAGAAATTACAGACTTGACAATATCTTCAGAGCTTCCAGAACTTGGAGTGACGTGGCCAACGTAGAGTGAGCCGGGTTCTTGAATCAGTGAGTAATGCTCTTCCTTAATAGTTCTACGAAACCTTTTTGAATGAGCTTGCTTAATCACCAACGTGTCGTCTTTTCGTCCATCTAAATATAGACCTAACAGTGGAGGTGAGTCAGACTTACCACACAATTCAGCCATAA